AAATGGACAGCAAAAGAAGATATTGTTCTCGTCAGTGCTTGGCTTAATACAAGCAAGGATCCTGTGATTGGTAATGACCAACAAGGTCAATCCTTTTGGAAGAGGATTGCAGCATATGTTGCTGCTAGTCCTTCCCTCGACGGAATGCCAAAGAGAGAGCATGCTCAATGTAAACAAAGGTAGGCAAAGGTCAATAAAATTGTCACCAAGTTTGTGGGTTGTCATAAGACAGCAACAACTCATAAAACTAGTGGTCAGTCAGAGGATGATGTTATGAAGCTGGCTCACGAGATCTACTACAATGATACCAAGAAGAATTTCACTTTAGATCATGCATGGAGAGAGTTAAAGTTTGATCAGAAATGGTGTGATCAAACTACTCGGGGAGGAAAGGATAATGCTAAAAGAAGGAAGTGTGGGGATGGTAATGCAAGTTCCCAGCCTATCAATGTTGAAGATGATTCAGTCATGACTCGACCTCCTGGTGTGAAGGCAGCCAAAGCGAAAGGAAGGAAGTCAGCCACTGTTAACGAAGGAAAGAAGCCAGCCACGGGTAAAGGAGAAGCAGGCCAGTCTGTGGAACATTTTCAGAATTTGTGGGAACTAAAGGAGAAGGATTAGGATCGCAAAGAGAAGCAAAGCAAGTATCAGATGCTTGAAAGTCTACATTCAAGAACTGAGCCTCTTTCGGACATTTACTTGTTCCTAAAAAATAAGCTAATCACGGAGCTTTGGTCCTAAGTTTTAAAGTTTTAGTTTGGTCCTAAGTTTTAAAGTTTTAGTTTGGTCCTAAGTTTTAAGCTAAGCATCAGATGCTTTTTAGTTTTTTTGTCTCATGTATGATATTGCTTTGTAAGTTCTAGTATTATGTCTCATGTATGATATTGTTTAAAGTTCTAGTTTAAGTCTATGTACTCTAAAGCTTTGTAACTTGTCTTGTATGATATTGCTTTGTAATGTATGATATGTCTTGTTGTGTATCTATCATGTTTTAACTTGTCTTGTTTTTTGCTAGATGCCAAAGAGAGCAATGTGTGCAAGTGGTTCAATGTCTGATGCCAAAGAGATCAATATGTACCACAAATAATTTGTATGTTTTTTGTGAACCACGAACTTTATTCTAGCAAATTTGTACCACAAACGAGCTTATTCTTTGTGTACCACAAACTTTATTCTTTATGTTTTACTTTTGCTATAAATAATATCCATCGTTTGTAGATGTCTCACAACTCAAGCTTTTCTAATATTGTTCTTTGCTTCAACTACAAAAATTATTTTTCCCTTAATTTTTCTTTGCTTTTACCACAAAACAATCAATCACCAAAGCTTTTATATATATCTATATTGTTTAATACTTAAACCTACCAAACAATATGGCCTCTTCATCCCGTACTCCATTCGACGACGCCATGGAAGAAAGCTACTCTCAACCACTTGATCAACAATTCGAGAATATGTTCGTCGAATTGTCTAATGGCGAAGAGGTTGCAAAGAAAAATAGGAAACGAGCTTATTTTGATAGAAAACGCGAAGAAGGGCACGTCCTTTTATGGAACGATTATTTTAGTGATAATGCGATGTTTCCACCTCAAACTTTTTGCCGCCGTTTTCGAATGAACAAGCCGTTGTTCTTGCGTATTGTTGAGTGACTCTCCAGTGAAATCCCGTTCTTTCAACATCGAAGAGATGCCACAGGAAGGTTTGGACACTCTCCAATACAAAAAATGTACGGCAGCCATTCGTTTGCTTGCTTATGGTTATGCGTCTGATGCGGTTGACGAATACCTCCGTATGGGTGAAAGCACTGCGATGTCTTGCTTGAAGAATTTTACAGAGGGAATTATTTCTTTCTTCGGAGATGAATATCTAAGAGCACCTACAGCCACAGATCTGAGAAGACTACTCAATATTGGAAAGATACGCGGATTTCCAGGGATGATAGGAAGTCTCGATTGTATGCACTGGGAGTGGAAGAATTGTCCCACCGCTTGGAAAGGCCAGTATACACGTGGCTCTGGAAAACCAACCATCGTTTTAGAGGCGGTCGCATCACAAGATCTCTGGATTTGGCACGCATTTTTTGGACCTCTAGGTACCTTAAACGATATAAATATTCTTGATCGATCACCAATTTTTGATGATATATTACAAGGTCGAGCTCCGAATGTGAATTACAAAGTCAATGGCCGGGAGTATCATTTAGCTTACTATCTCATAGATGGTATTTATCCGAAATGGTCGACTTTTATCCAATCTATTCGACTACCACAAACTCGGAAAGACACTTTATTTGCTACACATCAAGAAGCGGCCCGTAAAGATGTCGAACGTGCATTTGGAGTATTGCAAGCTCGCTTTCACATTATTAAAAACCCAGCACTTGTTTGGGATAAGGAAAAAATTAGAAATATTATGAAAGCATGTATCATACTGCACAATATGATAGTCGAAGACGAACGAGATGGGTACAACACTCAGTTTGATGTTTCAGAATTCCTACAAGTTGAAGGAAACCAAACTTCACAAGTCGATTTATCGTATTCTACAAGTATGCCTCCAAATATCGAGAATATGATGGGTATGCGAAATCAACTTCGTGATCAAAATATGCATCAACAATTGAAAAGTGATTTGGTTGAGCATATATGGAGAAAATTTCGCAACAATCAACAGAATAACTAATCATTTTTTTTTTTTCAAATTTATTTTCAAATGTATGAAATTATTGTATCTTTAATATGTTATGAATTATAATATTTTTCAGATTTATGAAATAAAATAATTAAAAATAATAATTTAATTTTTTCCTGAGAACCCCACAAAGAGAGCCTACCATTGGACGTTGCAAAATTAACAAAAGCTCTCATCTCATAAATTTGAAAATTTTAATCTTAAAAAAATGGTGAGAGCCTATGGAGAGCTCTCACCATTGGAGATGCTCTTAGAGATATAGAATGTTATCTTACTCTTGGCCATTGCTCCACTATCTATCACCTTTTTTTGGCTTTCTTTTCTTTATTTACCTAAAATGTTTTTATATACATGGGGGAATCACCACTTTCTCAGCCTGGGATAACTTAATATGATTAGAACAAAAGGCTCCTCTTTGTCTCTACCAAGGTTATTCCCTCTTTTTAGTTTCAAGTAATCTGATCATGTTGTAAAGTTTTTTGGTAGAAATATATCTTTATTTGATCATCTACCAATGATCATCGTTACCGTGTATATATGAATTATTTGGAAAATAATGGGCAATGGGCTAAACCCAAATATAGGTAGGCCTCACAATAACTGCCTCATACATACATACATTAACATACATACCTATCATGGCCTCTTTTAGGCCTATCTACTTAACAGGATTTGGGATAACTGCAGTGTAGCCCAAGGACTGTTAATATGATGATCAAAGTCAAACGGTGCCCTTGTGTAGACACGCCATTTCCAAGTCATGCAACTATCTTATCTCCCGGACTTGTTCCACCACAAAACATGGTCTCATCATTCTCAGCTTTTTCTTGTTTAAACAAATATTTGAGTATAACTTAATATTAACCCTCAGCTAAAATACGTAATTCTCCGAGACATACAAGCAAACGACGGTTTCCTCCTCCTCTTAATTAATTTGGTTTTAATCCCACAAGTATTTTAGCCTATCACTTCTTTTTTTATTGGTTAAATACATTCATACAAGATATTGTGGAATTGTAAAGAGGAAACAGAGGAGATGTGCAGGATGATATTATTTTCCTCAAATTAAAATGACACTGGTTTCCATGTGTGTATGTGCAGGGTTGAGATCAGCTAAGCAGAGTGGCTTGTGGAAGTCATCCATGTATATCACAGTTGACATTTATTATTGATCTTTGTAATAAACTATGAGTATGAGGAGTATTGTGGACTTGGCATAGCAATCAGCTTGGGCGTCAAATTCAAGAGATGTTTTGTATACCTTATGTTAGGTGTGATAAAGACAAATAATATTATGATTAAAAGGTCAAATTTGGCCACTTTAGAAAAATGTTAGTTTGTTACCTCTTGCTTACTTGAGTTTGGCGCAGAGCCGTATTTTAGCCATTTAATTTGTTTAAAAATTTATTGGGCTGGATAGATCATAGATGAGATATTAAAATAAAATAATTGGAAAGAAAGATATTGGGAGCAACTAGCTATAGCATGACGACGAGTCTTACTTTGATTATGTCAACATTAACCTGAGACGATCCCAAAAGCCTTTAATTTCGTCCCATTGAATCTTCTAATTTTGACGTCCATATGATTTCGCATGTGCACTATATACCTGAGAGACCAACAGTACTCAGAAGCCAACTTGTCCTTTTTATTCACCTTTCTTGCTTGACTTCTCCTCCTGTTGAAAAGTTAGTTTTATACTCTTATTTTACTCTTAATGTACCCCACTCCTCTACGTATTTATATTAAATATATATACCCATCAATTCTCTCCATCTACACATACAGCCCGAATATCAAAACTTTCATCTCTATATCTTTACCTTGACTGCTTCTCTTCTTCTGCAAGAAACCAGAAAAAAAAAAAAAAAAAAAGAGATTAGGGATGGGTTTCTTAGAGCTATTGGAGGTGGCTTCAATGCCAATCGTTCAAGTTCTTCTTATCAGCGTCCTTGGCGCTTTTTTGGCAACCGATTACTGCTCTCTTCTTTCTGCTGACACCCGAAGATCCGTGAACAAGGTAAACCAATTCATCTCTGCTTTTCTTTTCTCTTATTACCATATATCGTCACTAATAAACATTTTCCTTCGCAGCTCGTCTTCGTGGTCTTCACCCCCTGCATCATGTTTGCCAACCTTGCCGAGACTGTCACATTGCAGGACATTATTTCATGGTACGCACTACCCCATCTTCACTCATCCCTTTGAGAAAACGTACGTGTGGCTATGATTTGAGCAAAATTAGTTTTGCAGGTGGTTTATGCCCATAAATGTTGGAATCACCTTTCTAGTAGGAGGCATTCTTGGATGGTTGGTGGTCAAGCTCCTGAACCCCAAACCTCAACTTCATGGCCTCATAATTGCTACTTGTGCCTCAGGTAACATTAAACCCTCAATCAGATTTAACCTCAAGGAGGAGATCCCTGAAATATAACATGAAACATATATATATATATATATATATATATATATATCATATATGTACTGTCCTGTGTACGTAGGCAATATGGGAAACCTTATGCTTATTCTGGTCCCTGCCATCTGTGACGAGGAAGGCAGTCCTTTTGGGAATCGGAGTGTCTGCAGATCCATCGGGCTCTCCTACGCATCTTTCTCTATGGCCGTAAGTCAAACCAAACTTATGATCTTCTCTGCTCAGACTTGTTGATTTGATCGTGTGATTAATTTTTGTCAAGGGCAGCTCGGGGGTTTCTACATATGGACGTACAGTTACCAACTGGTAAGAAGCTCTGCTACACAGTTTAGAGCTCTTGAAGCCGCCGGGTTGGTCAAGTCTCCCAACAAGGACATTGACTCTGATCCCCACACTCTTCTCCTCAAGCCGCACCAAAACCAAGACCTTGAGATCCAAGGCAAACAAAAGGTGTCTACCGGGACATACATCAAGGACTTGCTCCATCAGATTCTTGAGGAACTCTTCGCACCACCCACCATTGGTGCCGTAAGTAAAAAAAAAACAAAAAAAAAAAAGAAGACATGATTTCGTTTCCAATCACCAACTAATAAATCGACTGCTCTGATGCGCTGTTATATGTTCCATTCAGATTCTTGGCTTCGTTTTCGGAGCAACAAATTGGCTAAGGAATCTTATAATCGGGGAGAATGCCCCGTTGCGAGTGATCCAAGACTCAGTAAAGCTACTTGGGTACGTATGGACTCTCTATCTTTTTTTGAATATGGAAATTACATCACGACTTTGCGCCTAACAGTTGACTTGGCAGGGACGGCACAATTCCTTGCATAACACTCATACTGGGGGGCAACCTGATTCAGGGTCTGCGTTCCTCAGCCGTGAAGACATCAGTGATTATGGGAGTGATCTGTGTGCGCTATATCATCCTCCCCGTGGTGGGAGTCGGAGTGGTCCAATTAGCAGGAAATCTAGGGTATCTTCCTCCAGACCCTCTCTTCCGATACGTTCTCATGCTTCAGTTCACACTGCCGCCTGCCATGAATATCAGTAATTACTCGAGACATCCCCCATTCACTTCATTGTTAGCTAGATACGGATAAATTAATCATACAATATATAAATATGGATTGCAGGCACAATGGCACAGCTGTTCGACGTGGCTCAAGATGAGTGCTCGGTCATCTTCTTGTGGACCTACCTGGTTGCATCCTTAGCCCTCACCATCTGGTCAACCATCTTCCTCTCCATCCTCTCCTGAATCTGATTTGAAAAGACAATGGAGTTTGTTTAGTCTCTCTTGTATGGATTTTTTTGATTTGTTAAATACTCTCATTCACATGTTGCCAAATAAAACAGAGAAAAGACAAAAGTATCTCTGTTTCACAGCCAATGTGTCTGTTTGTGGGCTTTTTTTACTTAGAAAAAAGGGAATGAGGTGTGGGCTCATAGAGAAAGAGAGAGCCCAAAATTGGAGAGGCGTGTTCAAGTTGGCCACAGAAGGAGACGTGCAATGCATCTTCCACGTTGCTTTGCTCTGATTGGTGAAAACATCTTCAATCATTTCTGAAACTTCTGCATTGCTCACACCTGTCCTCTCCTCCTTTCCTGTCTCTTTAAATTTTGTTTTTGTTTTTATTGTTCTGCTTTTTAATAGCATATAAAAAATCGATTAATTGATTTGCGAATTCAACAGCTCATCATTAGTAGATTAGAAAAATTCATTTGGTTAAGCCTAAAAGTAACATGTGGAGGCGGTTGATCCACCAGGAGTCAAAATGTCATAGGTTTATTGCGTAAAAAATGTTTCTTAAACTGATAAACCCCAAACAAGAGCCAATGAGTGTTTTGTATCTTTCTTAATGACACTTTAAAAGGGAAAAAGATAAAATATTTATCATTCGACCACACAAACATGTACAACACACCCCAACCATTACAATATTCCAGAGATCGATCGCCATTAACGTCGACTGTGACTCTCGGTTCTTCTCCACTCTCAATTTCGATTATCTCGTCAGCATGAGGTACGATCAGGAAGCGGGATCGTCCTCCCTGTCGCTGCCTTCGGGATCATCCTCCCATTCGCTGCCGCCGACGGAAGACACTCCTCTTTTGGGGCCTCGAACATTGTCGTCGCAGCCAAAAACCTTTGCAAATGTCTTCATCGCCATCGTCGGCGCCGGCGTGCTCGGACTTCCGTACACCTTCAAGAAGACTGGATGGCTCTTGGGCCTCCTCACTCTCCTCTTCGTATCCTCCCTCACCTTCTTCTGTATGATGCTCCTCGTCCACACCCGCCGGAAACTCGAGTCCCTCTCCGGCTTCAACAGCATCACTTCTTTCGGAGACCTCGGCGAATCTGTCTGCGGACCTGCCGGCCGTCTCGTCGTAGATGTAATGCTTGTCCTTTCCCAATCTGGCTTCTGCGTCAGCTATCTAATCTTCGTCGCCACCACAATGGCTAATCTCCTCAGCCGCGGCACCGAACATATTCTAGGCCTCGATCCTGCTTCGATTTACCTCTGGGGATGTTTCCCCTTTCAGCTGGGTCTCAACTCCATCCCATCGCTCACCCATCTCGCCCCTTTGAGTATATTCGCCGATATCGTGGACGTAGCGGCCACCATAGTGGTTATGGTGCAGGATGTTTTCATCTTCCTGAAACGAAGACCTCCCTTGAGAGTCTTTGGAGGTGTCTCTGTTTTCTTCTACGGATTGGGAGTTGCTGTGTACGCATTTGAAGGGATCGGAATGGTAAGCAGACCAATTCCTCTATCTGTGTCTCTGCTAAACTAATAATTCTGATTTGTGGTTGGATGTGAACAGGTTCTGCCACTGGAACTAGAGGCCAAATACAAAGACAAGTTCGGTAGAGCGCTGGGGCTAGCCATGGGCTTAATCTCGATCATGTACGGTGCGTTCGGCCTGCTAGGGTACATGGCTTACGGAGAGGAGACGAGAGACATCATCACCACCAACCTGGGGACAGGAGTGGTGAGCACTCTGGTGCAGCTGGGCCTAGCAATCAACCTCTTCTTCACATTCCCCCTTATGATGCACCCCGTCTACGAGGTTGTGGAACGCCGCCTTTGCAGCTCCTGCTACTCCATATGGGTGCGCTGGGCCACTGTGCTGGTGGTCACTCTCGTGGCCCTGCTCGTCCCTAATTTTGCAGACTTCTTATCTCTGGTGGGGAGCAGCGTCTGCGTGGTGCTGGGCTTTGTCTTGCCATCACTTTTTCACTTGCAGGCTTTCAAAAACGAGTTGAGCATCACAAGAATAGTGGTAGACGTTCTCGTTTTCCTCATTGGTGTTATTATAGCCATTACCGGGACTTGGACGGCCGTAGACGAGATCCTGACATCCAAGGCCTGATTGATATTCTTCCATTGTTTATTTTTGTCAGTATGAAAAGAGAAGCATAGTTACCTACAGCGAACACGGCAGCATTACTGTTATTTTGTTACTCTCCTCACTTGTTTATTTGTGTCTTATTACTCTATTTGTAAGAAAGACCCATGAAAACCAATAAGAAAAATGCGCTTAGAATCAAGTGTGATAAAGTAAGTGGTTAGATCATATGAATAAAAGGAAACTCGGATTAGATGGCCGAAAGAGCTTCTCATCTTAGTTTCATCAGCCTCTCCAATCTCACACACATTGTACAGACACCATTTGCGGTTGTTCACAACCAATAGACTAAACCAAAATTGCAGAAGCCAAATCATTTGGACTTTGGCCTCCCTCTTTTCCTGGTCACCTGAACCCCTTCGTTTGCTCCTTCTCCACCTACTGATTCGTTCAGTCTATCGGTATCTAACTCCATGCCAAGGCCATCGAAATCCGCCCTCTTGGAAATGGCAGGCTCTGTATTCAGCCTCTCTCTTGAGTCTATGGGAAGCACGCACTGGTCGTTCTTATGTTGGCAACTGGAAGAAGAGTTTGAAATTATGCCCTGACTGACGTCTACTAGTTGCAACTTGGAGGGTAATTCATCATCCTCAGCAGCAACATGCTTCTTCGTCATGTTGTCCTTGTCGAGAAATGCGTCTGGGACGAGTCCCTGGTTAGGAGGAAAGGAAGCAATCAAATCTAAAGCGGACTTAGCAGCAGCAACAGCTTTTGCGGCAGCAGCAGCTTTCTCATCTGCAGTAGCTCTGGCGGCCTTAGCAGCAATTGCAGCAGCGGCAGCAGTACATCTTGAAGCCTCTGCAATCTGCTGAGGGGTGAGATCTGGGTTACTCAAATGCGAAGCTAAAAGAAAGCTAAGATGGTAATCAACATTGGTGGAAGGATGTGGAACTCCATTATCATCAACCTCTTTTGTCAGCACATTGAGGCCTTCCATAATAACACATACAAACCTCTCTAACCTACAACACAAATGTCTCTAAACTGTCAGATCTTACGCGGATATTCACGAGAGAAGCCGCCCTCGGGAAAATCTAAGTTTGACGCTAAGATGGAGGAAGCTTTAGAGTTTACCTTGAATGCGCCTGCGGAGAGAGATAAGAGAGGAGAAGACCGCCAAAATTAGGGTTTTGGAGGTTGAAATTCTGAAGACGAAGATGATAAAACCCAAGCTACGATTTTCCGACACCAATTTCTTCGCACGCTCTCAGTTCGGATTTCCTGGCATCCGCTTTATTACGGTCGAAAGTGCGTGTCGTTCAAATTATTTTTGGGATTTTCCCTTTTTCAAATTGTTTTTTGTTTTGTCATTAGTTAGTTGATTTCCTTTTCTTTTTTTTGATAGTGAAGGACTGATACGATACTAGGATTGAACCTGTGGTGTACAAAAGCTTTTTTGGTTAAAATCATAGTTTTTTTACACCCTGCAAAAAACCTTATTGCTTGGGCAGCCATCCAGAGAAAACATCAAATATATGTTCTTTCATGGAGTCTCTGTTACTCTCACTCAGGGTGATTACAGTCACTCCCGGTTGGTTCTTCAACCTTGCCACTGCTCACAACAAAGACGAATGAATATAAACTTTGTTAAGAAAATAGATAGTGAACGCAATGCAGCTTTTCCAAGCAAGCAAGAAATATGCTAAAGATAGTTTGACTGCTACTTCTAGTCTGTATGGGTTTTAACATTCAAACAAATGGATGTCTCTCTCAATCTAATAAAGAAATACAAGAAAGATAAGTGAAATTCAATTTTTTTTAAAATGATCAACTGAGCATAACTAACAGAGGAGGAGTGACACAGGAAGCCAATACAAGAGTCCATCAAACTGGACCATGGACTACTCAAGAGTTGGAAAAATTCCATACAGTATATAGATGTGAAGGCAATTTCATAATTTTCAATTCAAGCATCATTGGCCTCAGGATTGGAGACGAATAAAGGCTGAAAACGAATCTAGTGAAGAGATGATGACTCATTATGTTTGATTAATTACCTCCAGGAAGATCTCGACCAAATTTTGGGATAGGAATGGAAGCAAGAAGAGGAATGTTGGAGCCCAAAACCTTGAGGACAGCCGGAAAGAAGGATGGACTAAACATCTCCATCTTGCCAAGTTCATCAATGATGAAAAGATGGGTATCGTCTTTGACCTTGAAAACCAATGCTAAACCAGTCACTCAGTGTTCCTCTATCCAAGTAACTATTATTTATACCAGTAAGGAAATGATGAGGTGGCAGAACCTGAAGCTCAGGCAATGCTATAGACTCGAAGGATGCAATGTCCACTTTGTACTTGCCAACATTAGGCCATGTCATTGATTCTTGACTGCAAACAGAGAGAGGGAGAGAGAAGTAGCCTAATTGTGAGAGGGAAACTAGAGAGTTAAAGCTGAAGGAGAAGGAGGCTGGACCTAGAAACAGTGGAAGAAGCAAGCAAACTTGTGCGGCCATCCAAGGTGACCACTTGAAAACCAACCCTTTGTCCTCGTTCCCTCATCTCTCCTGTGTGAGATAACTAACGGGATCATTAAAATACCAAAAAGAAGAAGACTTGATGATTGGTGTTAAGAGAGGGCTTACTTACGAGTGTAGAAACCTTGGATCTTTAAGTTAGGGTTGAAAACCCTAATCATGTCGAACACTCTCATGATCAATGTGGTTTTTCCGACACCCTGCCAAAAAACCACCAATGAGAAACTCTAAAAAGGCGATGAGTGGAAAGGAGAAAGAGAAGCTCACAGGAGGGCCGGTGACAAGAAGGCATTTCCCGGTGCCTGCCATTTTGAGGCCAAAAAGGGTCAGACCCATCCATTTGCTTACGATTACAGTCAATTTATTCTACGGATTCAGATCCCTCTGATTGCCTAAATTTGGCTTCTTCTTCCTCCACAAGACCAGTCTGTCCAACATACATACTCTTTGCGAGATACGTATGGGCCTCATTTAAATTTTGAGGCCGCTATAATGGGCCCATGCTTTATCTTCCGGGTCCGAGATAATATTTAGGGCTATTCTGATGGCAACTTGCCAAGACTTGAATTTTCTCATTCTCGACGACGAACCAGAGAGAGAACAGAACCGTCGTGGTCGAGAGAAGAAGAGCTTTGCGGCAGGTCATGTACGGATCTAGAGGGTACGTATTCTTACATTCGATCGCCATTTATTCTACTCGATTCATTTTCCTGTTGCCTGATCGGTATTAATCGATTTGTGTTGGAAAATCCTTAGAGGGTTGGTGTATAGGAACAGGATATGGAATCGATTCTTGTATTCCCTTAGTTATATTAATCGATTTGTGTTGGAAAATCCTTAGAGGGTTGGTGTAGGATCTGGCATCGATTCTTGTATTCCCTTAGTTATATTATCGATATGAGTGTTTAGGTTGGTGTTTTGTTTGTGTGGTATAATTAAGAATGGGTCTTACTTACTATAGATTAAGAGTCAGGGAAGTCTGGGTTGGGTTTGGTTATATTAACTGGTTGAGTTGGGGGATCTTTTTCCGGGTTTCTTGTTTGATATTTGAAGGGCCATGTTTGGGAGCGGGGGGTACGAGGTTGGATCAAAGAGACAAAGAATGATGCAATCAAATCCCTACTTGGCAGTTGGCACCGGACCTACCAGCTTTCCACCTTTTGGCTATGCCTGCGGATTCCCTGTCGTTCGCCTCAGGGGTCTTCCCTTCAACTGCGCTGACATCGACATCTTCAAGTTCTTTTCTGGCCTCGACATTGTCGATGTCCTGCTCGTCAGCAAAAACGGTAAATTCTCCGGGGAGGCCTTTGTGGTGTTTGCCGGCCCTATGCAAGTCGAGATTTCCTTGCAAAGGGACAGACACAATATGGGGAGGAGATATGTGGAAGTTTTCCGGTGCTCTAAGCAGGATTACTACAATGCGGTTGCTGCTGAGGAGGGAGCGTATGAGTACGAGGCCCGTGCTAGCCCACCTCCCACTGTGCCATCCAGAGCAAAGAGGTTTAGTGAGAAAGAGAAGCTCGAGTACACAGAGGTTTTGAAGATGCGAGGCCTCCCTTACTCGGTGAACAAACCTCAAATCATAGAGTTTTTCAGCGGGTACAAGGTTATCGAAGGACGTGTACAGGTTGTGTGTCGACCTGATGGGAAGGCCACGGGAGAGGCATTTGTGGAGTTTGAGACGGGGGAGGAGGCGAGGAGGGCAATGGCTAAGGACAAAATGTCGATTGGGTCAAGGTATGTGGAGTTGTTTCCAACTACACGTGAAGAGGCTCGAAGGGCTGAGGCCAGGTCTAGGCAATGACTCTTTCCTTCACTATGTATCATTATATATATATCCTTTGGACTAATTTTGTTAGGTTAAGACCCAAAATGTTCATCAGTGGAATCATAGTAATGTAAGACCTGTTTGATTCAGAGTTTCTGCCTTGGGATCCAGTTACTGTTTGTTTTCTTCTCTCTTTCGGATATATATTTTTACAAGTAAATTAGGGACTTTTTTCGAATAATTTGTAGCATGAATGGATCAGAGCGAAAGATGTAGGATCTCGGGTGAGATTGTATAACTTTCTAGTTTCTACTCTCAAATTAGGTCCCATAGAAAACCTATTGTGTTCCCGTAACTATTTTATTGACATGATTGTTATTCAATATGATTCTCACATTACAAAAACCCAATTTGTATTAATAAACTGAAGTCAATTAATAATAGCTGTTGAAGAATGGGAATGAAATTGTAACGAAAGGAATCAATGGGCTCCATTTGCACAAAGTTCAAAGGCAAGCTATGGCTTCAAGATCTGGGCTTGTGCAGACAAGGCCGGCTGCAGAAGATCCGGCCATTGGCCCTCACGAGTGCCGCGACAGCTACACTTATGCCCGCCCAAACAAATGAGAAAAATAAGTGCTTATAACTACTCCCAACTGCACCAAAACACAGATGGACTTTGTCAACCTTCAATGGCCTTATTATTCCTACACCAACTACAGGGATCAAGCTTACCTTGTTTTACAGACATTGTTGCAAACCAGAAACTGATCAGAATCACCATCAAAGCCACCGGAAAGTTCTGAAAAATGAGAGTATCTTGATATGAGACCATTATACACTCTAAGGAACAGGCCTTATTTACTTGTAATATATTATTAGCTGATGATTGCTTACAGCTACAGCCTCAAGACCTCCCTTTCGAGGCACAGGAGCCATGTCTCGGCTCACAGCAACTATATAGTGTCCTTGCACAAGATCAATTGCATCCTTTGTACGGGACGAAGAATATTATAAACAGTCAGTAGAGATTGAGGTACCAAGTATTCGTAAACTGGTAGCTAGAGCCACCAACCTGCTTAGTTCCATCAGCAAAATTGTTCAGATAGTAGCGTGCGAGGGCATTCCAGCCATCTTGAAGGACTCCTTGGACAGTCCTTTGACCATACCTAAAATTTAAAAAGTTACAGGAAGGCATGTGGAAACACTCTTCTCTTGAGAATTTATGTACTCGAGTCCAAGAACGTACCTGACAAAATCTCCTTTAAGTGCAGGAGTGCCGGAGTATTGAATGCTAATGTCATCACCGTGATTAGCCCACACTGAAGGAAACATAAACACCAGATATAATCGAGTTTGGAATTGCTTATCTAAGAAATTCACTTTACTAGTGAAAAACCACATGGAGTATAAAGTACCGACATATCTTATAGCATTCATCAAAATTTTTATGCGAGCTTATAGCCTCTTCGGCACCAAAAACACCAATCCTTTTGAGTTGAAATTCCAACATGTTTCGGCCTATCATGCTCTGCATTTTGGCTGTAAGATGAGAAAAGAGAAAAGAGCAAAAGGCAACGAGACAAGGGGATGTCTATATACTAATACTAGCCTGGGTGACATTAGTACGGTCTAAGCAATCTATGCAGTTTGTTCGCACAATACCAAGCTGCTCCTTCATTTTCTCACCCTTTTCATTAAACAAAAAGTACCTGTGTAATTCAACGTGTACTAGTAAGCTCTTTTGTAAGATGCCAGGAGATGTACAAGAAAATTAGTACCCGTTTTTCTCGAGGAAATCCTCCATCTGCTCATACAAAATTGCTAAGCGCTCAAAGTGAATATGGCCACATATGTGATGGAAATCAAAGTGCAGGTATCTAGAGGATGAGTGAGTGAGTCAGCTGATAATAATATCCTTCAAGTAGCAATGAAGGATGGTAGAAGAATGCACAGCTACCTTACATCATCACCAGTGATGTGCTGCATAGCACCTGCAAACCTTTCACTTAGGCGCCCCTCACCTCCATGCTGATCACAGAAGAAGTAATTGAGGAACATGAATTTGAACTAAATCTCTGCATTTGATTTGAATTTACTTATTGAACTTTATAATTTAATACACAATTGAGGGTCAAGAACAGCAAACAGGAACTGTTTGTTATATATCCAAAATTATTCAAAAGGATATATATATATATATATATGCACCTTATTGACAAGATCAACCGCCAAAACTGATCCATATTTTTTCCTTACGCCGAGAAAGTGACGCTCAGCTATCCTCGCCTGCAATGGAGATTACTTAAAATACTGTAAAGGGGGAAATGCTTAGTTACAAATCATACTCACAGCTTCTTCAGGTTGGACAATCTCAAACTTGGGCTTGTAGGTCAGATCTACAATTTGCTCCCACATAAAAGGCATGGATCCTCTAACCTGCAATATGTCAAACAACACAACCATAAGTAAAATCATCTGACCCTAAAGAATAGATGAAGAAAAACCAACGTACATATATGAATGAAAAATTTGTAGGGCCTGCAAACATGTAACAATATCACCTGAACAAATGATGATGTGTATCCGTTCATGCGCACAATTTGCTCAGTCTCCACAAAATTAGCAACATAACCATCAGGGTCAGCTCCTCGTCGCCACATGCGCGTACCTTGCAGATACACAATCACAATTAGGCATATCATCTGAATTCAAAACTAAAGCTAAAGAATTTTGCCCACTTTTGTAGACTGTAAAATGGAGCTAGCTACTTGAAAATAAAGTGTCAACATGTAAAAAAAAAAAAAAAAACTAAGGAGAAACGCATACCATTTCTTCTAGAGCATCTCCTAGCAATCAGAGTAATGTCAACGATATCTCTTCCAATGGCTGTTTGAAAACTATGAAAACGTGATGCAGGGTTAAGGAAAATTGTCTGAAGTCATGATCCAGGAAAAAGATTCGAATAGTTCAGTGATAGAAAAAGGATATTCCCTTGAATTACAGGAAGCAAGAACTGATCAAGCTACAAAATTAAAACAAACAAAGGTGATATATATATATATATATATATATTTGCATGTACAGAAAAAACAGAGGAGTGCACTTAAACAAAAATTCACTAACCTTATTTTCGATAAGAACTTCTAACATATAGTTGTTCCATAGAAATCTAGGCTCAGCCTGCCATACAGATGCAAAAGGTTAACTTACTTATACACAAACAAGCAACAATGCATAAAAAGTGCGTATGGATTTTTACCAAAAAAAAAAAAAAAAAAAAGTGCGTATGGATGGATACCTGTCTCCACAAAGGAAGCAACTTAGACTCATCACCCAAATCATGCAACCGCTGTGCGCTGAAACAAGAACAACAATGATCGAACTAAAGACACACACATACATGATTAGCAAAACCTCAAGTTTTTCTCTTCTTTCAATGTAACATTTCCAGAGTGGCACAAAGAAGAAGAGAAATTATTTACGTGAGAGTCAAGTTTATTTCATATGAGAAGTAGAGCCCAGTTGTCCTCTCTGCGACGCTTAGCAGCCTAGAGAAGTCAGTCTCCATCTTTTTCTGCGAAAAGCGGTACAATGATTTGAGCGTTCAACTCCATTGTTGCCTGCAGCTCATAGATATACAAGAGGGATATGTAACACGGAGTCACCTGTTCTTCATGAGAGTTTTCAAGTGAATGATCACAAGGAAGAAACTTGAGCGAATTAATTTTGAATATAGGATGTCCCAAAAACGAGCCAACAGATTCGCTCTCTGTCACAACTACTAAGTAGGATCCTGAAATCAGATAAGAAAATTTCCTCTTGGTTCAAATGAAGATGAAAACGTTCACAAAGAAAATGTAAACAAATAATTGAATTTTCACCTGCCAGGAGCTTCAGCATCCCGACCACACCGAAAATGGAGCGGATTTTAGGGACACGCAAAGAGTTGCATTCTGCTACTTGATCTGAGATAGGCAAAGAGGATACAGATACATGCATAAGAGAGCAAAAAAGATTCCAAATAAAGAGGTGCAACAGAAAACACACCAATGAGCTTCATGGAGCCGTCAAGACGGCTAATGTCCAAACATGAAGCGGAGGAACCATCGGTTGGCTCGATGACGTACTGATCAGGGAATTCCCATAAACGCAAGCCAGAGTGTAACTTGTGCCTACCCTCCATGGCTTCAGCAAGAGGAAGAAGAATCAATCACCACGAGATGTGAAACTAGGCACCTCAATTAAAAATGGCCTTCAAGGCAGTGAGAGTGAGACCCGTTCAAATTGATTCCGTACAATACGGTTGACCAAAAACAACAACAACAAGTCGACGACCGTTATTATTATATCTTTGAAGTTCGTTAGTTTTGCGTTGATTCTGTAAATCATTAATTCCGATAATCAGCGATTTTGCTGCATGATTACAATAGACTCCATTAATAAAAGGAATGGCCCAACAACCCAATTCAGTGGCTTCTCCTTTCTTTACATTTGGACAAAAACTGTTTTCTTGACTTTTAATGTTCATTACACAAAAACCAAGGACTTAAAACCAAAGTCGTATGTAATGTATGTATCTTGGCCCAAAAGAATGTGTCCACCCGACTATGAAAACGAGAATCTTGAGAAGAGTGATAGACCTGAACCCTCACTTGCCGGACCTGGAGTCGCCTCTGTTGTTGTTGCTGCTGTTGTTGTTGAGCTATGGTAGGCTTGCTGACACTTCTGGATCTCCTCTGGACTGAACTGAAGCAACATCCCCACTACAGGTAGTAAAGCCTCCACTTCACCTGCAACCATCACATGTTATTTTACCCCTACAACATCTACTTCGTGAATCCACCTTTAATCTCCAGGTTCTACCTGTTTCTAGCAGTTTTAATATCACATTCTTTAGGTATGTCATATCTACGCCTTCTCTCTTCTGTTGTCTTTCCATCTCCCTCAACTCCGTCTTTAGCATAGCTTCCTGTTTTTAGCATACCCCCGCAAGTTTAAAATAAGATCCTAAGAAACTGGCAAAGCCACCAAACTCTCGTGTAATCACATACCTGTTGACTGTGAAGACGGTTTTCTCGCTCAAGCTCCTCGATTTCCTCCTGATTCAGAATAAACAGTTAACAATTGCAACATAGGCAGAAACAGATTAAAATCAATGCAACCAATTCTACTACACCTGAAGAGCTAAAATATGGCGCTGTGTCTGTGCTAACTCTTCTTCTCTCTGAGCTTGTTGCCTTGCCAATATCTGAAATTTGAATATTATGTGGGATGATTAGCTCTCACCGATTGTCCCGTAGGCCATAGCATTACATATGGATGAAATTAAGTTTCTAGGCTTAAAGATAACTCCTTGCTCACACAAGCAGACGGCTAACATTACAAAATCCTACCAGAATCTGGTGCTCTGCTGCAGAAGTGCTCAAGTTAGATACATCCTGCTGTTGTGACTCTGAAACACCGTTTGAAGAAAATAATAGGTTAGTTGATGACAGGTAACCCACTGAATCATTCATATGGGGAGCCCCTGTTAAAAAAAAATATGGTATCAGAAAACATATTGTACCTGTGTTGTTGTTCCCATAGTGGTGAACCTGAGATGGAGATTTGTTCCACTTAATGCCACATGAAGAGTGAAAAATTTAAGTGCAAGTTAAATGAAAAGTGACTAGCGAAAAACCAAAGAAAAAAAAAGGAGAAGTAAGGTAATACGCCAAAAAAGAAAATACAAATAAAAATGAATCATCTACATACTACTGGTTTTGGCTCCATAGATTTGCGAAGATGTTTAATCTCATCAACAAGTCTTGATATCTCTCGATCCTTCTCCTCAATGAGTCTATCTGCAAACTCACGTACTGATTCATGCTCCTCCTGCAGGTATGTCAGTTAGACAAAAAACATCGGTAATCTTTCAGTTTCTTATGAGTATAACAAAAAGTGATTTACCTTCAGTCGTTTATTCCGCAGTTTGGCATCTTCTAGTTCTTTTTCTATACCTTCTGCAGAAGAGGCTTCATTTTGAGCGGTTAAAGCTTCACATCTTCCTATAGATTACTGTAATCTTTTAGGAAGAGAATTTCAATTTCCAAGAACTAATGAAAAAATCAAATTTAGATTTGAAGCAATTACGTCGCCATGTTTCTTCTAAAACCCGAAGGTCTTCTTCCCACGCTTGTTTCTCCGCTTGATTGCGAGCAACAGTGGAGTCAAGCTTCACTTCAAGATTTTTGATCTGCTCGCTGGCATCTTTAAGTGCTCCAGCTCTGAAATGGATATGAAACAAAAATAGCTCAGACGACCTATATATGTCTGAAGAACTCCACAAAGCAGTCCCCTGAGAACACCATTTCTCAATTGTTTTCTCTGGAAAATTGAGGAGAATGAGCAGCCAACCTCCGGAATCAAACATGAAAAAGTTTCAGTGTCAATATATACCTTTCCTCAAGTTCTTTCTCAAGGCTAGCCAAAGCACCCTGAAGATCTTGTTGTGCCCTATCCCTCTCTGCAGATACCAAATATACTTCTTTTTCAGCTTCCTAATACCACCCAAAAAGATAATTAGTTGGTCTGCACCTTGGCAACCATCTAAAAATTGCTCCATCTTAAAATTCTAGATAACTTACCTTTAGAGCTTCCTCAAGAGATTTGATTTGTTCAGAGTCTTTAGCTGCAGCCAGCTCCATGTCCTTCTTTTGCAGAAGCGTGTGAGCACGGATCTTGTAAGAAGAGAATTCACTTTGGAGACGGTTGATCTGTGAACAGTTACAAGGAATTCAATATGGTTAAAATGAAGACAAGTTACAGCAGAACATTCCTCAAAGATCAAATGGCTCTTTGATTCCATAATAATTCATGTTATGTGATTAAAAATGGATGACTAATAAATTCGTTCTTACCCAACCAAGGCTACAATATTTTTCAAAAAAAAATCCAAAAGAAAACTATGTACCTCTTCTCTTGCACCTTTGAGTTCAGCATCTTTTGTGCTTAGTATTTGGGTCTGCATGGACATTTCAGATCCCAGCTGACCTGACAATTTATAAGAATGAAATGTCTATATTCCATTGACAAAAGTATAACATAACTAGATTAGTTTCAACGTTTCATGAACTACGTAAATTACTTCTCAGTTTAGCCACTTCGATTTCGGCCTGTAAGTAGTTGCTTTCAGCGATTTCCAGTTTAGATTTAAGGGCACCGCATGAAGCTTCCCAAGTCTCCTTTTCCTTTTCCTAGAGGAACAAAAAAAAATTCATGGGTTCTAAGAAATACAACAAAAGAAAATAGAGGAATTTATATTGCCAAACAAATTGAAACTCCAAACATGCTGTCTGATGGCTACAGACTGACGCCTTAGATCATGTTTACAGTTATCTATACGCACTCCTATGTTCATTCCCTGGTTAATCATGCTAGTAAATCTGCTAAATTAACGATGGAACTCATTTGACGAGTAGTACGCAAAACAAAATCTTAGAATATAGGAATGGGCAACAATAACGAAGGACAAATGACAGTTGGCATCAGAGAGTCCTGCGAATCCCTCTTTACATATTCCACTTACATTCTCCGATTTAAGGTGTGCAAGCTCTCCTTTAAGAGTTTCTGCAGCAGCCCTTAGCCTTGCTGCTTCGCCAGTTGCAGCTGCCTCCATCTCTGCAATTTTAGATTCCTTCTCTGCAAGCAGTACCTAAAAGAGGTGTATACTTGGTGTGAAGAATTCATCACTTATTTCAAACTATTCTCTCTCGCTCATTTGAAAACCAAAGCACATCATCAAGAAATAGAACTAAAGAATTTAGTAACAAGACTAACCTGCAGCGACGAAATGGTTTCGGCTGCGTTGTCCCTCTCAGATAGAGCATCTATGACCTGTGCTTCCAAACTCTCTAAGTTCTGTCAAGAAGGTGGAGAGAAGAGAAAATCCTGGATATCATTAGCGGACAATGGTGGCTCATAGCATATAAGAAGCAACACAATTACGCTGATGCTGACTACCTTCTGATGTTTGGCTGACAACTCAGTAACTGCAATTTGCTTTCTCTCTTCCACAGCTTGTAATTGCTTTTTCAGGTCCTCCAGAATCTAGGATAAAAGCAAGTAAGCATATGAAGCAGGGTATACACAGCCATGAGCCATCCATCTGCATATGAAGCAGGGTATACACAGCCATGAGCCATCCATCTCCTCTCTCTCTCTCTCTATATATATATATATATATATATAACTCTCTATCTTTCTATTATTGCAGACTAGTATTACAGAAAATGAAACAGATCAGACCTGGTCCTTATCAAGAAGTGACTGTTGCAATGTCTCTATCTTATTTTCTTTAGGCTGCAATGAGCCACGTAGTTCCTCGATAGTATCCCTGAGCCTGTGTATGGGAAAATAAGAGAAAACACCAGTACTCAAATTCTGAGAGATAGCTGAAGAAGTGTGGGAAAGACAAGAATCTTTATTTTATACAATTCCGAATGAAAAGCATAGCCAAAAGAATTTTTAAAAGGCTGTCTGTAAAAACTATCTTGGTATTTATTTACTTATTATTCGCACTCCTTAGTTGTTGCCTCTCTGCATCCATTGCTTTCAGTGCTTCATTCGCCTGTTGCCTAGTGCGTTCCAGCTCTTGTTGCATGGATGAGTGCTGAGAAGATGCTCGTTCAGCTGTTTCATTCACTTCCCGGAAACGGGCATCGAGATCATCTTTTTCCTGAAGATAGCAATATAATAGACCAATGAGATTTAGACTTGAAATAGCAGCGAAATATATATATATATATATATATATATATGTCTAAAATGCAGCATAGAAAATCCGGAATAGTATAAGGTGGTTTTGGAAAGTCAGTGTAGCCGTGGGTAAAACAGAAAGCATTATAATATGTAGAGAAGGAGATTGACCTTTTGGATTTCTTGAATGCGCTGTTTAGCCCTTTTGTGAAGCCTGGTGAATTTGGCGTCCAGGTCGGCATATTTCTCGTCGCGCTCTTTGATTTCCTGGTCCAGCTTCTGTTCAACTACAGCAACAACAACAAGGTAATAAATAGCACAAGTTGAGAAAAAAAAGAAAGAAAATGCAAACATTACATTGGTTCCGGTGGCAGACCTTGGGAAAACTTAGTGGAGTAATCCTGGGCTTTTGCATCAGCCTCAGAGTATGCTTCCCTAAGATGCTCAAGAGCTTGCTCAGCTGCAACTCGAGTTTGTTTTTCCACATCAATTTCTCTGCTCAATGATGCGACCTGTTCTTGAAGTTGTTTCAATTGGTCCGCTTCCACTTGGTGAGACCTACTTTGCTCTACTTGATCCTTAAATTGGGATCTGAGAAAGTCATTTTCTATTCTCAGTTCAGCAATCGTTTGGAGTAGCTGATCATCATTTTCTGTCGTCAGATTCTCGTTTGACGCATCATTTCTGTCATCTTCTTGGACATGGCTCTCCTCTTCTGCAACCGCATCAGATTCCTTGTCTTCGGACATCTTGGGAAAGATAAACCCGCTCAAGAGCTGGTAAGAGCGACTAGAGTAGAAACAACTAGTAAGCGTACAATCGGAAGAGAGAGACAGAAGTCAAGTCGTGAAAATTCGAACAAATCAGCAAAAGCAACGGAAGAAGAAGAAGAAGAAGAGATTTGATTGTAATCAGAAACTTACCTTGAGGTGAGGAATTACCAGAGAAGAGTGTGGAAGCAGGCTGAGAGAGAGAGAGAGAGGTCGCAAACAAGGTGAGGAATCTCGATTCCGAAATTGGATCGGATCCACCCAAAAGGTTAAAACGTCGTCGTCTCTTGTCCCGTCGACCAGTGAGACGGTAAAACGTTGATCTGATCAGACTGACCAAGAATGGGATAAAATTCTCGTCGGCCCCCTGTCCTCAAATGATTCTCTACTTAGCCCCGAAATAAAAAACTTGAGTTAAATTAATTATTTTAATTCTGAAAAATAGTAAAAGACAAATAAAACTGTTGGTTTAGGAGATGGGTCTTTGTATTTTCCTAACTAACCTCGTCAGGTAATATGTCTAATACCTATTTGATTGTGATTGTGGGTGGATTCAGAAGATCAACAACCTCTTTCAGAAAGAAAGGAAAAAGTATGGAGTGCATGTACATCAATAGTATGTAATAAGAAACTAGAGACACAAACGAATCAGCAGCAGCCGCACTTGAACAAGCCTACGCAAGTGTAGGGTCTTGATTTTTGCTCCACTTCATATGCTGTGGGCAGTGGCTCCCGCAACATCCCTTGTATATGTTTCTGCACATCCCACTGCCCAGGAAGTTGGGAAATTTCCCCCAGAAACAGGATGACCTCGATCGGTCCACAGTTAAAAAAACGCTTGAAGGAGATTGTCTTCTCTTAAACGGCATAATAAAAAGTAGGAGACAAGAGTGAGACTAGAGTAGAATAAGGATAGTACAATTCCATCAAACTCCTCCACAGACAAAATAAACACCATTCTTACTTAGAGGTCGGAGGTGCACAAGCGTGTAGTGTAATTAACACCATTCTTACATGAAGAAGGCGTGTAGTGTAATGACTAGATAGGTCTTAGATAGAGGCATTTACCAAGGAACTGGCTCAGCTTTCCCAAGAAACAGAATACCCGTGAAGAGAAAGTGCAGTGCCACCACTGCCAATTTCATAATCAGAGAAGAACTCCCAACTGGTTCTGGTGGCAGTAGAAAATTAGTTGGTTTAGCGCGAATAGGAATCTACAATGGAGCTTCTCGGAGAAACGATAAAAGTGGTTACCGGGATCGGAGAGACAACGAAGAAAGGGCCGACAAACTCCCATGACGGTTCACTTCACTGGTTCAGGCCTCAGGGAAGAGCGATGACCCACATCTCTCTCTCTCTCTCTATCCATTCTATCGTATGACAGCAACGCTATTATTGGGCTAAAGCAGCACCTTAAAGGCCCATTATGTTTTTGTAGTATATGGCCCAATTATAACTACTTTCCCAACTACAGTATAAAAATGAAATTTATTTGTCACTCAAATAATAATAATAATCCATTAAAAATATATATATATATATGGCGGAGGAGAGAAGAGTCCCATCATCGGTGTCGGTCACAGTCGCCCACGACCTTCTTCTAGCCGGCCATCGCTATCTAGACGTCAGGTAACGCCACCTGTCTCTTTTCACAATTTCAAACATCATCAATCATCAACATGGCATCATTAGGGTAATGGGGGATTATATATATAGGACTCCAGAAGAGTTCAGGCAAGGACATGCCTGTGGGGCGATCAACGTACCTTGCATGAATCGAGGAGTATCAGGTATTTTGTTGTTTTGGTTTTAGTTGGTAATTGAGTGGGCTGTGATGGATATAGTTTTGTGATGGTGAAGCAGGGATGTCAAAGAACCCTGACTTCCTGGAACAAGTGTCCTCCCATTTCGGACAATCCGACAACATCATTGTTGGCTGCCAGAGCGGTGGTAGATCTATCAAAGCCACCACCGATCTTTTCCATGCAGTAAGGCCCCCCTCCACAACTTTCTTCTGACTTCTTTTACTTTTGTTGGTGATCATAATTTGGGAATTGCAGGGTTTCACGGGAGTCAAAGATATCGCCGGTGGCTATAGTGCCTGGAGCAAGCATGGCCTTCCTACAAAAGACTGATATCGCCGGTGGCTATAGCTCTCTTCGTCTTCTTCTTCGATAATGACAAAAATGCATCGTTTCCACATGAAACCAACATCTTTAAAATTATCAATCTTCGGTAATGAAATCCACATGTAATAATTAATTAATAAATGACCCTCCTTTTCCTTGCTGTCTGATGTGATATCTTGGAGGGGGCTCATCATCTGTTGTGCCCACAACTTACGTGTGTGTTTTGATTGCATCGAAATCTCTATATAAGTTAAAGATCAATAAGAAATGAGAGAGCATCCGACAATGTTACAAATCTACAAGATTTTTCTTACCTTGAAGGTCGATCTGTTCTTGGCAGCAGACAATATATGTGTATATTGAGTGATCACCATATCAACAAACAACTCGTGTGTACAAAACAAAACAATCTCTAAAGTATGAGAGAAGCGACGAGAGAGGACTGAGATATTGACACGGCTCAATCAGATGAGTTAGTTAGGAGAATCTGAGTGAACCAGGCCAATATCAGAGGGACTCTCTCGGACTCAGAGACAGAGGGTATCTGTTTTGCAAGAGAAACAAGAATCGAAGAGAGAGAATGTCTGTAACTGTAAGGGGATTAAGAAGAGGAAGAAGGGAGTGAATGTGCAACTTCAATTCTGTGAAGCATTTAATAACTCTGCTACTCCCAATGCACCTCATGTTTTTTTTTTTATAACTTTAAACCCGAAAACCAAGCGACAAGGGAGTGTTGGCAGGAAGCTATAAAGTCCGTTGTGTAACCATCGTTTCAGGGGAAATCATTCACGTTTCTTTTAACTTACTTGCTTTGCCTTCCAACATTTATTAAGGCACACCCATCCACATCTCTTCTTTCCCACTGTATGTAACCGTCCCTCTTTCGTTTTGTCTGCTTCTGCACTCAGTTTTTTTTCTAAATTATCTTATCGCCAATTCATTCAAACATACTATACACTGACAAAATGCATTTCATTTAGTCTTCTTCCATTTACATTTTACACATTCCCTCAGGCTATTCATACATCTTTCATTTACTTTTGAATACGTCGCGCGATCCCATCAACCTAAGCGCTTCCTCTCAGGTACATGCGATACCATCAATCTATAAGCATCTTCTGTTTCTCTCTGCATACCCTTGAAATTGACCACACTTGCATTCTTATCTACATCCATTTCCTTTCTTTGCTCCTATTCTTTCTTTCACTACTCATAGCTCTCAGGAGTTTCTACACCCTTATTATATTCAACAGAGCTGCAACCAAAACAACTCAATTATCAATGTCACTTCATTAATGCCTCTCAATTATCACCAACAATTGTCTACTCACCTCGAGTTCTGAAGCTTCTTCAGTCTGTCCCTCCACATCGCTGCAAAATGTGATCCCAGACAAGAAATAAAATGAGGAGTCTGCAAAGCACACTGAATATAGATGCCATCCACAACAGTTTCTATACCTGCATCGATGTACCTTTCCTCTTTAGACGCCAAATCCATATTCCTCACTAGTTTAAGCTCTTCCGATAAAGGATCTGTTCCCTCCGGAGCACTGAACAAGAACAACCACCATGTGGTTAGCAACTGCGACAGAGTTGGACAGTGTAACTAACCCAGGAGATTCATTAACAAACTAAAAACCTGTCAAGGATAACATTGAAAATAGGCTTTGCACTCTGCGGTCTGCCTCCATAACCAATTTTGATAGCCTCTTCCAAGACTATTGCTTTATTCACATATATTGGAGCCTGTGATATGACAGACAAAAACATGTTACGCATTATTCAATCAAAGGAACAGGATAAGATTCCTCAGTCTGAGAAACAGAGAACCATAAAGATAGTGAGTTTAACAATCTCGAAAGCCCAGGTAGCATACCTGGCATGCTCTTGCAACATTGATGGCATCTGATGGCCGTGAATCAATACATATAGCATCATTGTCCCCTGGCTGCATGACACATGGTTAACCTTAGACATAATAACTTTTGACATAGCAAAGAGGATGTTTGCAGTCTTTAAGTTACCTTGCCAAGACATAGACTTGCATAGTAAGTGTTTACAATTCTACTAGTAAGTTTGACCATCTTAACCTGTCAATAATACAGTACAACTTGTTAACCTCGAGGTTACTTATACAGGTAGAAGAGGGAACATACGTGTTGGAAACGGATACTTTACTTCATATCCGAGTTTGTCGACAAGAGCAGACACGAACTGGAACTGATCAGGGCATTCCTAGAAGAAAGAAAGAAAAGAAGGTGACGGGGTGGAATAGAAACAGCAAACATGAAAAGCGTAAAACAAGAGGAGGGGATACCTCAGTCTGGCCTTGTAGAGGTACGTCTAATAGTTTCTCAACAGCAGCATCCCCTGCAAGTGTAAGTGATGAAAGTAAGCAACAGTATTGAGAGAAGAAGGAGCAAAGTTTAGAAAGAATAGAGGAACATTAATTAATTACCAACAATAAGGGGAAGCAAGTAGTCACCATCACAAGAGATCTTGAGAAAAATAGTGGGGTGCTTGAATTGACGGAGAAAGCCGAGTCCAATAGGGAGAACACCAACCCTGGATTCACTAGCTCGAACAGAAAAGGGAGGTAAAGGCCTAGAAGTTTGCCACATTGAATCTTGCCGGAAACCATGTCTCCGCATTTTGTAATGCATACTTGTCTCTGTTATTTGTTAAGCAATTAAGAAAAACAAAATGAAATGGGCTAATCAATTGCTACAATGCCTTTGAAATCAGCAATAAAAGGGATCTATCTAGCTAGGTCATTGGCATTCTTGGTAGGCAACAATAATAAAGGTATAAAAGGGGCAAATGAAATCACAAACAGAGTTGGGCAAAAGCAACAGAGAGACACAGGATACGAGTAAACGTCACCGGAATCAGAGACGCAATTTGAATAATAATAATAAGAGAATAGTCACATTTGGACCTGCAACGAGGACAGAGGCTTGGAGAAACTCGAGATCGGGATCGCCGAGGCCAGATCGGGAAGCAGAGCTTCCGTGGCAACAAATATGAGAAATCTTTGGGGGGCGACGAGAACGCAGCGATCTGAGGTTCAATGGGGTGCAACAGCGAAAGGAGGAGGGTGAACTGGAGGAAGATGAGAGGGAGGCGGAGATGGAGCAGTAGAAGGTGGTTGTGGTGGAGTCGGAGATGGCGATTCCCAGATCGGAGGCAGGAACACAGGAGAAGGCAACTCCGGGCATGGTGGTCGTTGAGAGAGAGAAATAGGAAAGAAGAAAAAGTGAAGCAGAGCACAAAAGTAGAAGAATGATGGAGAGAGAGAGAGGAGACGTCAATGGCTCTTTCTTTCTTTACCGGGATAATAAATAATGTAATGTAATGTTAATGTAAGATGTGGAGGATAAGGTTCTGCCTTTTAAATCAAACTCGTTTTGCTCTAAATTCTAACACTAAACTAAACACGTGGGTCTATTTTATTTTATTAATATTTCTTGACGTGAACAGTTCATTGATAACCAACATTATTCATTCAGGTGCTGATTTGCCTAATTATTTTGACACTAGTTAGTTAGCGACAACAATAATACGTCGGTAAATCAGACCAGTGAAAATAAGCAGATGTGGATTTGGTGGTTTATGATCAGTGAAATGCCTTCCAACCATGTTACATCATACTCACATAACAACAAGTTTTAAAATATAACAACAAGTTTTTATTTTTGGCTTTGCTTATAGACTTATAGTTATAGTTGGTGCCGAAACCAACAAAAAAACATGAAATTCAAACAAAAACGCGTACACAAGAAACACCGACCAAATGTGCAAAAGTGGTCCTGTCGTCATATCTCCACAGGTTTTGACATCTTCTTCCGACATTTTAGATACTGCTCACCTCGTCTCAAGTTTAAATATCATGAATTCCTCATTTTTGACTACCTATAATTTCCAATTGCGCTGACACTACTGCATACATAATTTTAGATTATAACAACACAACAACATTATTACTCCTCTAGCTCAAGGTACATCAAACCAGTTAAACCGATGGATAAGATTAACAACAAACCAAATTTAAGCAAGTGCGAGACTGGACCCACTCCACTTAACCTTTGCCTCCATCTTCGTTTTTTCCGGTTTTCTCACAAGTGAGTGTGCTTCAAGCTGCAATTAAGACGACTATTCTATCGCTTCATCGGTTGTTATCAATCTCTTCTTGTGTCTGCTACATGGAAACTCTTTCAACATCTTCATCACCTCATATGTCCTTGTCTCTCTTCCAAGGTAGAGGCAAAGCCCAAGCGGAGTTAACCCATCCTGGTATAGTCAAAAATGGCATCATCAGTATATGCTTTCCAAACCAGATAGGGGAAAACACGGGAACTTGCCTTGTTCTTCACTTCTATGTCCGCCCCTTTTATCAAAAGAAGCTTTACAACGTCGCTTCTTCTGGCCTGTACTGCAACGTGCAGGGGAGTCCACCCGTCCTGAAAACCCAATTTGTCAACCACCTGATCAACAATGATGTTGTCTACAATGAATGCTTGACATCATACCCTGTCCTGAGCGTTTATATCAGCGTTATACAGTAGGAGAAGTTTTATTGTGGGAGCTGATGCTGTTTGCACAGCATAGTGCATCAAGGTCGCACCTTCCTATCATAAACGAAACGGATCAGAGCTGTTGTGACCACTTATAATGATATATCATCATGTGACCACTTACGTCATCAAGAACAAATGGATTTGCCGATTCCCTCAGCAGGTAGTTGGTAATAGCCTGCTTTTTGCCAATGATTGCTCGGTGAAGTGCTGTCAAGCCGCCCTAGAAAAGACATGAATGGAAACATAAACAAGTGGGGCAAAAGCAACAGCTTCAAACAACTCAAGACTTACCACGTCGGTTGCGTTGATATCAAGATTGTGCTTTAGCAAGGAATCAACCAGATAAAACTCTCCAGATGCTGCCAGCGTGTGAAGAGGAAGCCATTTTTTCTGATTCACCAACACATAATACATTTTCATCAGAGACGGACTACCAGAAGACTCAACTGAAAACATTCAGCATCATAAGGGGACTTACTGATGTGGCAACTGCTAGGTCAGGATTCCGGCTATTGAGCATAAACTTTTCTTCTTTTGAAAGAAGCTTTCGAGGGCCTGCTCGGGAATAATATAAATAAGCTCTTTTTGCTTCAATTTCAAGCAAGAGAAAGAAACAAGAGTGGATCTATCTACCGTCGGATTTCTTGACGCTGGGATCGTACTTGTCGCTATTGAAGAACTTGGCAACGTGGTCGAATCCCTTGCCGTAAACTGCCCATCTAGGGTTCTTAGGAGCCACTCGCTCGCTGGAAGGTGATACAGCGGTCTCTCCATCGCTTGACGCTGCATGGTCGGAGAAATTGCCCGGTTTATCGAGAGTGACAGGCCTCAATTGAGCCAACTTGGCTTCCTTGTAGGTCAGAAAGTCATTCAAGTCGACGTTCCTCAGCGGAATCAGCCCTTGTCTCTTCTTCTCCACCCGAACCCCGAACTCCATCTCCTGCGCTATCTTGCGCTTGTCCTTCTTGGTCAGATTCACCTCCGCCTGAATATCCCTCCATTCCTCCGGCACGAGGTTCTCGGGCTCAATCTCGGATTCATCTAATCTCTTGGCCCCACCCCGCGGATTCCTCTTCTGCTTCGCAACCTGAGTGACCTCCGTCTCAAGGTAAGGGTCTTCGAAGACGCCGTCCTCGTAGACGAGACAGTCACCGACGATGAAATCATCGCCGGCATCGGGGAGGATCGACGTCTGAGAAGAATAGGAAAGAGAGCGTAATCGTGTGGGGAAAACAATGGAGTGAAGAGAGGGAGAAAGACGAGACGGAGAGGTCCCGGGGCCGGGGAGAAGAAGAGAGATGGTGTGTGGTGTGGCGAGGGACTGCATTTGAGGATGACGGAGCTTTCTCGTCTCCTCCTGCCGGCCTCTGATGTAGAAGTACTGGCCTCACTTTCTAATGGGCCTAAGTTGAACAAATGGGCCTCACTTTATAATGGGCCTAAGCTGAAAAAATGGGCCTGACTTCCCGTTCGTCCTTTGATTAGTCAAAAATCTACAGAGAGTAAGAAAACAAAAAAAAACTCCATTGTTCCTGCTGCTGCTCTGCTTCTTTCGAATCGAATCTCGGTCGGCCGGATCTCATCCTTGTTGCAAAAATGATGGCAAGACCGAGGAGTCATCGTCCTTCAGCTCGGAAATCCTCCCGTTCAACGCTCGTCTTCGCCGTATTGATCATGTCCACTTTCGTGATTTTGATTCTTCTCGCCTTTGGAATTCTCTCGGTGCCCAGCAACAATGCGGGCTCCTCCAAAGCCAATGATCTCACTTCTATTGTCCGTAAAACACTTCAGAGGTACGATTCGATCCCGATTCAATATTTAATTTCAATTTTTTTTTTGTTGCTTCAAGATCGGGCTTACTTTCCTTTTTCCGTAGAGGTGTCGAGGATGATTCAAAGAACGAGCGTTGGGTTGAAATTATCTCTTGGGAACCCAGAGCTTCTGTTTACCACAATTTCTTGGTGAGTCTATGCCTATCCATATTTAGAGATATGATCAATGTAAGGAATGTCTTGGTATACGGAAATAGAGAACTGGCTGTGATTAGAAAGCAAACGAGAAGATTGTGAACTAGAACTAGGATAGGGAAGTGATTAGTGATGATTTGATTTGCTCTTGGTTGGCTTACCTTCCCCTGTTAACCACTACTCACGGAATGGGTCTTCTTCCCGGTTTTTGGATAGACAAAGGAGGAATGCAAGTATCTAATAGAGCTAGCTAAACCGCATATGGAGAAATCAACTGTTGTCGACGAGAAGACTGGAAAGAGCACAGATAGCAGGTTTTCTACTTCCCTCACTCAGTGCAACCTTGCTTGTAGAATTAAGTGAATTCACAGAAGCTTATTCTCCTTTACTGACCCAACCCCATCCTTCTCCTCAATAGGGTGCGAACCAGCTCAGGGACATTTCTTGCAAGAGGGCGTGACAAAACTATCCGTGAAATTGAGAAAAGGATATCAGATTTTACATTCATACCAGTTGGTATGATCTGCTTTTCTGTTTGTTTACTAATTTGACATTTTCTTTATCCCGTTTCTTCCTAGATTTCTTAGGCAGCCCTATTTATCTGGGCATCATATCACAATATCCTGACTGGTTCTGTTGATGCTACAACATGCAGAGCATGGGGAAGGTCTTCAAGTTCTGCACTATGAGATTGGGCAGAAGTACGAGCCTCACTACGACTACTTCATGGATGAATATAACACTAGGAATGGGGGACAGCGGATAGCCACAGTTCTCATGTACCTGTAAGTAACTGAAAAACGTTGGGCTTCCATAAGCTGTTTCTATGTTCTTCCTATAACGCTCCTTAGGGACTTTGCAGATCAGATGTTGAGGAGGGGGGTGAAACAGTGTTTCCGGCAGCCAAGGGAAACTATAGCGCAGTGCCATGGTGGAATGAGTTGTCAGAGTGCGGGAAAGGAGGATTGTCTGTGAAACCAAAGATGGGAGATGCATTGCTTTTCTGGAGTATGACGCCTGATGCGACGCTAGACCCATCTAGTCTTCATGGTGAGTAGATGAGTTTGCAGGGATATAAAATGATGATTGAGAGGAAGCCGTCCCTAATTTTGTCCAATTGGGCAGGTGGGTGTGCTGTTATAAAAGGGAACAAGTGGTCGTCGACAAAGTGGTTGCGTGTACACGAGTACAAGGTTTGAGGTAAGTTTAAGTTCCAGCTTCTTGAAGTGTTATATGTTAGCGATCTGTGTGCAGTGTGCGTGAGAGAGAGACACATTGAATGAGTCACACCACCTGCCTTAAAAAAAATGTGTTGTTGTAAGTGGATGGAAAAGTAGAATGTAAAATGTAAGAAGACTCTGATCTGATCCTCGTACAGGGAAAGGTGTGGAGGTGAGTGGGTCACCAAGTTTTGAAGAGAGGGGTGGGAAATGAGGAGCAAGCTTGTAGGGGTAAGTTAGGGGATGAGACATGGGAATCATTGTACGGTTTGTGATTCGTTTGATATACATAGATATACTGTATGTTTGATGGATTAAGAAAAGCGCATTTGGATGGATGAAGTTGGGTGGTGTTTCTGTTTCACATACATAATAGTTTGTATGTATAATAAAGAGAAGTAAAGGGGGTTTTTGATTAATTTGGAAGCCAAAAAGTCAGAAGAAGGGGCGCAAAAGTCTCACCCACTCATGGTTTCCTTTAAATATCGTCGTCGTCGTCGTCGTGAGATATTTTCCTTTTTGAATATTATTAACCCGAAAGATGAGACGCGTGATTATTATTAATTAATAAAGAAAATTATGGTCAGCGGAGAGAAGGTGCCTTTGGTCTCTCTCTCTCTAATTGAAATTGGTTGATTATCCTCAAAATAAGAAGAGAGGTTCTCTCCTTTATTTCAGACAAAAAGGAAACAATTCATTCCCTCCTCGTTGATCTCAAGAAAGAGAGAGAGAGAGAGATATGGATGGTTATTATTCTCTGTCGCCCATCTCCCTCCTCCATCGGGTTAAAGATTCCTTCCATTTCGCCGTCTCTGCCCTTCTCGCCAACCTCTTCTCCGCTCTCTTCACCTTCTTCTTCGCTTTAGGTTCCTTCTTTTCTTCACATTCATCATCTTCTATATCTGTGATCAATCTATGTGATCCGCTGAGGAATTCCTTTGTTTCTGCAATTACGATATGAAAATGAGTTTGACTTGTTTTGTTTTGTTTGGTATTATTCAGTTGGGACTTTGCTTGGAGCATTGACCGGGGCTTTGATCGGCCAAGAAACAGAGAGCGGTTTCATCAGAGGTGCCGCCGTTGGTGCTATCTCTGGCGCTGTCTTCTCCATCGAAGTCTTTGAATCTTCCCTCCTCCTCTGGCAATCCGATGAGTCTGGAATTGGATGCCTTCTCTACCTGGTAACAATCATCATCACCCATTTTTTACTTTTATTTCCTTATGCTCAAATGCTTTTCCTATCTTATCTTTCATGTAGATTGATGTCATTGCTAGCCTTTTGAGCGGGAGGCTTGTTCGTGAGCGTATCGGCCCTGCAATGCTAAGTGCCGTCCAGAGTCAGGTACAACAACCATTCTCTCTCTGATGCATTATTCACATTCAATATCATTCTCAACTTTTTATATAAATAAACAGATGGGAGCTGTGGAATCCCAGTTCCAAGAGCATACAGACATCTTTGACACCGCCATTTCAAAGGGTCTCACTGGGGACTCTCTCGACAGGATCCCAAAGGTCCGAATCACAGACACCTCTCCGGAGATTGTCTCTTGCTCTGTCTGCCTTCAGGTTTGTCTCACTTCCCCTCTGCTTTTAACATCATCTTCTTCCGTGGAACGTACGTACGTAGATTAGAAGAAACATAATATAATTACTTGAGAGAGGTTCTAGATGTTTCCATTAGGTGACAAGTGGTTGAAAGATCATTTAATTAAAATTGAGGTGTGGTGTGGTGACGAAACAGGACTTTCAGGTGGGAGAGACAGTTAGAAGTTTGCCGCAGTGCCATCATATGTTCCACCTACCATGCATCGACAAATGGCTTCGCGCGCATGCTTCTTGTCCCTTGTGCAGAAGACATCTTTGAATTGAATTTGAACACCTCTTTTCTTCTTTCTTCTCTTCTTTGTACATGAGGTATAGGCATACACACACATACACACACTACTAGTCTTCCTTGATTTTTTAGATTACACGTTACACAGATTTTGATGCACCAATCATTGTAACTTCTTCACTCATCTCTTGGAGATCCTGTTTATTTATGCTACTTATTCTTGGCTTCATCATTCAAAAGGACATGTTGCAATTCCCATTTATAGAAAGTTTGGGATCGGGGCTTGCATAGGCTAAATCCCAATGAAAATGCATAGATACATATCCTTTTCGTTGAAAACACTCTTCTACTCTTAAGAACTAATAAGATAGATAATACATTTTACATGAACTAGTCTTGAGTCCAAAAATATTTGGGATGAGATCCAACATGTCAGGTAGCTTCAGTTTAAAATTATACATTTCTTATACCAACAAGAAGAGTGAACCCAAAAGACATAAACCATAAAGGAAAAGAAAAAACTTATCTTTGGTTGGATAAATATAACTACAAGATGGATGGAACCTAATTATAAAGTTTCTTAGGTAAAGTGATACCACCTATGTTGCATGGAAACTCTCTTCGAGGTCCGTTTTCCGTTTCCGAAACGTTTCGGAAACGGAAACTCTTCGGAAACACGAAAAACGTCACGGAAACGCGTTTCCTAAAAATCTATGTTTAGAAACACGATGGAAACTTACGTTTCCAAAATGAAAACGCGACAAATCTTTTTTATTGATTTTGGAAACTTAATAAATAAAAGTTGAAAATATTAAGATTTATAATACATATAACTAATTTTGGAAGAGTCTGAGTTTTAAGATATTTCTATCGACAGACTAGATTTGGAGGCATCTTTATATGATCTATGATGAAACTAATGAAAATGAGAATGAAAATATTGGTCTAAATTAAATATTTGAACTTGAACTTCTTAATCTTTATCTTTTAGAATTTTAGTTAACCTATTTAATATTGATGTTTTGGACTTTTATTGTTTATTTAGACCATTTTTTATAGTTTTATGTTAATTATATATATATATACATATATGTATGTGTATACGTTTCCAAAACGTTTCCAATCCCTAATTTTAGAAAAAAATCGTTTCCCGTTTCCGAAACGTTTCGCTTCCACGTTTCCGTTTCCGTTTCCATGCAACATAGGATACCACCACCACGAATTGAAACAGAAGGGTATTGAGAGAGGAGGCTCTGCTGAGCAGATTGGTGTCCAGGAAGAGGACAATCACATTGATGTCGTCGTGGAAATGCCTCCTGACTCCTCTTTCAATCTTGTTGAGATCAAAGTATCTCATCTCTCTTTTCTTTGCTGCCTCCTGCAGCGCAGCTTTCACCAGTCTCCTCGCTATCCCCTGCGTCAACATTCTTACTTTAATCATCTTTAAGAAAATTCATCTATATATGTGGAGGTAACTAAAACTGATGGACTCTCATACGTTTCTTGGGTGGTTCTGAACGACTTCAACAGCCTCTTGGTTGCTAAGCTGCTCCAAAAGTCCGTCTGATGCAAATATCAGAAACTGATCATCTGGTTGGAGATCATGCACGGTTATCGATGGTTCCCCACTCAAGATGGGTCTTTTCATGGGCTCCCGCAGTCGGTACTTTGTGTACAAAGGTTCCCTGTTGAACTCCGCTTTCTTAAGATACACGTCTCCTATGGATCGTGATACCTACAAACACACAGATAACCCAGGCCTTCAAGATTTGATATTTGGAGGGCCAACAATAATATCTTAACCAACTCTGTGAAGGAACATCTTGGCTCAGATTTTATAGCCTACGAAGATTTCTTGGGTTGTATGGACTTTGTAGAGAAAGGCACCTGAATAAAGCCCTTAACACGCCAGACATTGTGCCTTAAGAGGACAATATGGGAGTCATCAGGATGTAAGGAGTGCATTTCCTGCCTCACAGACTCTATGCTCACATTATCTCAGCAGAGAGCTGAAGCGCAATAACCTTACATGTGGCCTTGATGACCTTTCCAAGAACGGCACGGGAGTCCCCAACGTTAGCTACGTAAAGCTTCCCATCGCAGACCACACCGACCAGGCAGCATGAGCCAACCGCTGCTATATGTGGCTTCACTGCCCACTGTTTCGTCACCACCCCTAGAAAGCCTTTTTCGGTTGCCTCATACGCCTTTCTTATCACACCCACAGACATGGAGTCCTGCTCGGCTGCGAATCCTGCAGAGTTATATTAACGATTCAGTGCCAGTGGTTCCCTAGCTAAATAAAATGCAGTGGGGACTGAGCAACAACTAGTTAGTTACTCTTGAGATGGTGAAAGAGATGATCGTTGAGAAAACGGGAGGTCTCAGGGCCGCCGTGGCCGTCATAGATGCCAACAAAGGTTCCAAAAGGACCAGAAGAGGAGAGGGTGGTCAAAGGACCGGATTCGACCTGGCACTGATCCTCAAGGAGGTTGTTGGCCTGGACAAGGGCCATGGAGAAATCACCAAAAAGGTGGTGAGCAGAGTCTTTGTACCAGAGAAGGCCGTCTTGTTTGGCTTTGGAATCAGAGTAAGAGTGGGAAGTGGAGGAAGAGGGCCAGAGGGCCAGAGACAAGCGGCCAAAAAGTTGATGAAAAGGGATAACATCGGGCCTCATCTCGTATTACCCCACCACCACAACGAATGGATGAAGTATGTTGAAAAAACAAAAGAAGAGGGAGTCAGTCGGAAACTTGCATTCATTCACACCAAAAGAAGAGTTTGGTTAGGTAAGGAAGCAACAGCTGGATGGATGGATGGAGGGAGATATCTCAAGGAGAGAGGGAAACTATTAAGTTGTAAGTAACAACATGTGGGGACACAGACGCCGGCAGGGGAGAGAGATAGAGTGAAAGAAAAAAGAGAGACAAAAGATGGGTTGTTTCATTTTATTAGGAACAGAAGAGAACAGAGGAAGCCTTTCCCTCCCTTGTATATGGGCGGCACCGATGAACTCTCTCTCTCTCTCTCTCACTCTCCCCCAATTTAGAAGAGGATTTGATGTAGCGCATCTTTGCGACGATCACACCGTCGATGGTCTACGTTTTGATCGGGCCTCTTTATTGTTTTTCGTTTAGGATTTCATTCTTATGGGCTTTATTTACATATGAGCCTTTATTTATTAGCTTCTTAATTATGTTAGGGTTTTTGTTTTATGTCTTCTATTTAAGTAAGCCTCTAGACTCGATTGTAGGCAGCTTTTTGATTATTGAATAAACTAGTTTTAAGAGAGCTTTGTGTAAAGCCTAGAGAGGAGGACTCTCAACCCTAAGAGCTTGTGTTCAAGCCCTACAAGGAGGACTTGCAAAACCCCGTCGATATCGTTCCCTGGAACCGATCTCGACCCTATCTCTATTGCTTCTTCGTCAAGTTTTGACGTTCTAAGCAAGATCCGTTCGTGAATCCGACTTCTCTTAGAGATCTTGTGTTCTCGTCCGTTATTTAGCTTCCGCTCTCTATCAGGATTTCCTCTCAAACATTGACTATATCTCTTCTGAGTTCTGACCCACAAAGAAGACACACATACGTGTGCACGTGCACTCCTTAACTCCCCCCCCCCCCCCCCCCCATGTGGTGGGAACGGGATTTACATACATTATTATTTCCCTTGCAGCTTAAACTCTCTATTCAATTCAAACCCCTTTGACCAATGCATCCCCTCCTTGGGCTTGGATTATATGGGCCCTTTATATTTTGTCTTTCTCATTATGGGCCGAATTCAATATATAGCTTCGGCCTTATAAGAATAATTCAAGCCCCTCACCGATACTCTATGACTCTCTAGTCCTCGCCGTAGGAAATCACAGCAAAATAAAAAAATAAAAAATTTTGTTTTCTGGAAACGTCGAGAGCTAGCTAGCTGCAACTCCGTCTCAATTTCAATGGCATCTGCTCATTCCCTCGCCGCCGTTCCTGTTCTCGCTGCGGCCTCCAACTCCAAGCAAGCAACACTTCCTTCTTCTTCTTCTTCTTCTTCCTATACTCTCCACTCTCTTTCTTCTCTTCGATCTAAACCTCGTCAGCAGCACCTCTCCCTTCGCAGTGTCGCCCTCAAAGACAAAGGTATCTTCTCTTCTTCTTTTTTTTTTTTTTTTCGATTTTTCCGGCGAATACGAGTTGCTCCTCCTCTCTGTCCAATTTTGAATTTGATAGTTTGGGGTAACGAAGGGTGTGATTCATGTTAGCACAATCGTAAAGAGTAGTTGTTGATATGGTTTAGTTTGTTGATGAGCTTAGGGGGACCAAAGGCGCAGGCGAAAGAAGCACAAGGAAATCCAATTACAGAGGCAGATGCTTTCAGTAATGTGAAGCATCTTCTTCTGCCAGTTATTGATCGGAATCCTTATCTTTCTGAAGGCACCAGACAGGTTATATTATTGCCTAGCTTCTTGTTATCTTTCTTGATAAAATAAAATGGACACCACAAAAAATGTTCTGATTTTACATTTCATTCGATAGGCTGCTGCTACAACAGCTAGTTTGGCAAACAAGTATGGAGCTGATATCACCGTTGTAGGTAAAGTAATTAGTGTGTGTTGCATTAATCCCTTAAGCATATGATATGAATGAGCCATTTTGACCACCGTTGATTCAGTCATTGACGAAGAAAAGAGAGAATCATCTTCGGAGCATGAGACTCAAGTATCTAACATCCGGTGGCATTTATCCCAAGGTAAAATTAAGGAATTACTAATAGGAAATTGTAGGTAAACTATATAGTGTTGGAAATCCCTTAATGATGTTGTTGCAGGTGGGTTCGAGGAGTTCAAGCTGTTGGAGAGGCTTGGGGAAGGAAAAAAGGCGACGGCCATAATAGGAGAGGTGGCAGATGAGCTGAGGATGGAGCTGGTGGTGATGAGTATGGAAGCCATCCACTCTAAGTACATTGACGCCAATCTACTCGCTGAGTTCATCCCCTGCCCCGTCCTCCTCTTGCCCCTCTGATCCAAATGCTTATTTATAGACGTCCCACTTGTTTTCTTTTCCTTTTTGTTTGGTTGCCGTAGAAGAGCATAGTAGAAATGTGTCGAGGTGTGAGATGCATGTGTCAAGCATTTTCTGTCTTATCATGGTCATGCTTGTTGTCCTTTGTTTTCTCCGTTACAAGTCACATTCTATCAGATACTAACTAACGTGTTCTTCGACCACAGAAAAACTCAAATTAAAGGAGAACATCTGTATTCTAGCAAATCTTATCCCCTAATAAAATTACTAATAGGTAGAAGAATCAAATACTTTGCCAAAAAAAAAAAAAAAAAGGTAGAAGAATCAAATTAGTATAAGCCTAATAAGTACCTTATAAATATGATAGGCACGCAGACGCATGTATTTATTATTGCTAGTGTGTTTCCATGCGTCATGTTCATCTCACTGATGGTTAGTTTAAAAAAGAAAAAAGAAAAAAAATGACCGTCCGAAAGAGTTTTGTTTTGTTTATATTAACCCAGTGTTGGTTGGTCCAATCAGGTGAAATCACACGGATTGGTAGCGAGAGGGGCATTTAAGTAATTGCAAGGGGAGCTTTGGTTTTTGTTTGTTCGCAAAGGCCAGGCACACACAAGTCTTCCCCACCGGCGTTGTTATAGCTCTCTCTCTCTCTCTCTCTCTTTGGTTTCGGAGATTCTTCTTCTTCTCTGATTCTTCTCCAACAATAATAACCCGCAGCTTCTTCGATCCTCTCTCTTCCTCTGTTACAGGATGGCTACGACGGCGAGTAGTGCCGCTAATTCTGCATCTCGCTTCTCCATTGATTCCTCTTTGTCGCGATCACGTCACAGCGATTCCTCTCCCTGGTTGATGCCTGCTGCTGATCCCCATGATGATCCGGCTCCTTCCCTCTCCCAGGACGATCCCTTCTTAACCGGAAATGGCACTTCCGACTACGACAATGCTGATAAGAAGCCTCCTGTCTGGAACATGCCTTCTTCTAATATCTCCTCCGATGTCATGGCCGCCGCCGAATCCTGGCCTGCTCTTCGGTCTTCTTCCAACAAGTCTCCCTCTTTCGATTCTTCCAAACCTTTATCTGATGGATCATCATCATCATCATCATCATCATCACCAATGCCGCCTCCCCAGGTTGCTTCTTTTTGCTGTTACGGCTCTCCAATCATCATTAGGATTCCGATTATATGATCACAGAATTTTAGGAATTGATCTACCTATCACAGGCTTGTCACACTCTAGTTTCATGTTTCATTCCTCAAGCTCATTCTTTTGCATGTCGCGAATCCTCGGAGAATTTAGTCTTCTCGTCAATGCTTGTTTGATTGCCTTGAGAATTCCGTCTTTTTTCTATTGCTGCTATTCATCATCCATATATATTTCAGGCTGGTGGAACTCCTTTCAATGCCAATGCTGGCTCAAGTGTTGCTGCTACCTCATCTGAAAACAATACTGTGAATAATAGCCCGAGGAAACCTTTTAGACGGAATAACAACGCATCATCTTCCAGTAGTAACATCTCCAACCCACCCAATGCTGCGCCTTTTAACACCAGAGATCAGACTCACAGTCAAAGGGGTGGTTCTTATGGCTCAGGGAATTTCCGTAATTCCCAGAGAAAAAGCAACAACAGCTCTTACCCTCGTGGGGAAGGTCTTCACCATGGAAACAGGCGCAATTATGAGAGCGGGTTTTCTCACCGTAACTATAGTGGGAGAGACATGCACTTGCAACCCCAGAGGGGTAATGGGATGATGAGACCGCAGATGCTGATGGGGCCACCATCTTTTCCTGCCAGTAGTGCGCAATATATGGCAGCGCCTCAATTAGGTTCATATGGTGGCCCCATGATCTACCCAGGTATGCTTTTGGTCATCTTATGCTCTCTCATACATTCCCATTTCTAATTCATTCCGCAATGTTACATCTTCAGATTATGCACAGCATGTCTTTATGCCACCTCCAGACCCGATGGCTTTAGTTGGACCCTTCCCACCTCTGCCTGTGTATTTTCCCAGTTATGATGCCATGTTGTACAATAAGATATTGACACAAGTAGAATATTATTTCAGGTAATCGTTTCAGTTGTGTTTGCACCTTTCTACTTGTTTATGGGTTACCCCAATGTTCCATTAGATGCCTCTATCAGAAGTCTGAATAACAAACTTTATCCTTTGTTAATTTTTATATGCAGCGCTGATAACCTGAGCAGAGATGAACACTTGCGGGATCAGATGAATGATGAAGGTTGGGTTCCTGTTAGAGTAATAGCAGGATTCAGGAGAGTAAGTGGTTTTCTGTCCTCATTTAAACGCATTTGTTTACACTACTAAGTCATCATCTATTTCTATTCTGAAGCTGACATGCGTTCATCACATTACAATGTGTACTGCAGAAAGTAATAATTCTTATTGTATCAAGGTGTTACTTATATTAGTTGTGTTTGTTTGTTTTCGTGACCTTGGAATAGTAGTCTTAGTTTAGTGAGTGTACTGGTTAAAAATAGTAATTCTTTGAAATGTTTGCAACTTTTGCAGCTTGCAGAACTGACCAACAACATCCACACTATATTGGAAGCACTAAAAAGTTCAGAAGTCGTAGAAATTAAGGTACGTAAGATGAGCATCCTTGTCTCTCATTCATTGATGCAAATACGAAGTAAAGTGGAAAGGGGTAAAGATAAAAGGCATAGAAAGACTAAAGGTAGAATGTGGATGGGATTGTAGGGTGAAACATTGAGGAGGCGAGGAGATTGGGACAAGTATTTATTGCCTCGTGAGCCTTCAAAGTTCGGTCCAGCAGCGGGGGCTAGCAACAATGCCTCACTGGTGTCTCAACTTGAGAGCATGGCTCTATCAGAGAGGAGCAGAGAGGGAGAGTAAAGAGATGCGACTAAGAGAGAGGAAGGAAGATGTGTTTGCATGCCTCTCTCTCTCTTTCTTTCCTTTTCTTTTTTTTTTTTTTTGTTTTGTCGAGAATCGGATAGGAACTGATTGATACTCGGTCTCATCATAAGAAAAACAAATAATATGCTGCTCAACTTTTTTTGAACTTTTCTGGTTTTCTTTAAATTTTTGGATAGGAAACAAACTGTTGAGACATCAAATTTTAATTTGTTGGTGTTGGCTGATCAATTGATATAGTCATCTGCGATACCCGCCACCCGGAAGGGAGGGTTTCACGTCAAACCCTATCCAAAATACTGGAATGCTCTACACTGAAAACAGCTGGCTAGCTCAGCAGTGACATACCATTCCATCACTCGTCCACGTGCAAAGTGGGCATGTTGTCTCACTTTTAATTATGCTTTGATCAGACAATTCGAAGTTAAACGAGAAAACAAAAAAGGCAAAATCGTAATCGGCGTTAATGGGCTTCCAAGACCTCTGTTACCGGAAACATCACAAAAAGCTCAAGCAGTTCCAGGCACTCTTCTCCTTCTCTGATATATTTGATGCTTTTTTTCCTTCTTTTGCCTGTAATTGTTGAATTACTACCATGTGTAACGAGACTGTGTTCCACCGTATGATGAAAAAAGAGGGTGGAGATAAAAGTGAAGATGGACTGCGAAGGGTGCGAGAGACGGGTGAGGAAGTCGGTGGAAGGCATGAAAGGAGTCAGCAAAGTCACCGTCGATCCTAAACAGAGCAAACTCACGGTGGAGGGATTCGTCCAACCGAGCAAGGTGGTGCATCGGGTGATGCATCGGACGGGGAAGAAGGCGGAGCTGTGGCCTTACGTGCCTTACGAGGTGGTGCCACACCCTTACGCACCTGGTGCCTACGACAAGAAGGCCCCTCCTGGTTACGTTCGTAATGCACTCGCCGACCCTCTAGTGGCTCCGCTTGCTCGTGCCAGCTCCTTCGAGGTCAAATACACTTCTGCTTTCAGCGATGAGAATCCCAACGCTTGTACCATCATGTGATCTAGTCTTTTTCAATTTATATATATATATATATATAGTTAACTATACATGTGTGTGTGTGTGTGTTTGTATCAGTATATATACACTTCAAGTAACTCTGAATGTTGCATGTATGAGTCATCTAAATTCCACTGAAATTAAAAGGGAGAAACAGAAGAATAAAGAGGTGATGAGATGTAGGAGTAATAGGAGAAAGAAGAGAGAAAGGTGAGAAGCCATGAATAGACTGATTAGGCAAGCCATGACCCAAACCGGGTATATCAGAAGCAGTGCGTAACAGACGACGACAAGGCAGTAGCAGACGAGACTCCCCACTTTCTCTATAGCTTCTCCCACCCGCATCTTGATTTGCGTACTCCTACTACTTTGGATATATGAGAGAGACTTCATTTAAATACTACTCAACAAAGAAAATTGGAGAAAGACATGCAAAAGAAGTTGTTTCCTCTCTAAACGGGACAATGCATCCCGCATTTCTGCCCTTCCTCTGCTTCTTCTTTTACCCCGGTGTTAACATCACAGAGACATGCTTTCCCCTAACGCTCAAGGAACAATCACCGGAGGCAAGTATCCAAAATTGAAACGTATATGGTGTCCATTGACGGGGTAGTTATTCTTTTACAGTCTCATTATTATCACATTCCGCAAAAGCTAGTTACAAGGTTGGTATACATGATTACATACACATCCATACGTGAACATAACAATACCAAAATTATCTCAAATATGAAATGCTCAGGATTTGGAGAATGCACGAAGCGTGGCATCCAACGCTTCCCGATCATAATCTCCTGTGAACACGCAGTTTCCCAGCGGGCCTTTGAGAAGAATCAGCCTCAGCAATCCATCCGCCACTTTCTTGTCCACCTGCATCACCACACACATTTCAATGAATTTTTAGCTCAAAAGTTGCCAACTTTTTTATTTTACATCTGGATTTCACCACAAACTCACCGCCATTATGGATTTGAACATGCTCACGGTCATGCTCTCTGGCGGCGTTGTAGGCAATTTCGCCCGTTCTAGGATCTTGTTCACTCTCTTAACGATCGATTCATCTATCCAACCAAGACGATATGACATGTCCACTGCCATTACCTGAGAAAATTATAACAGTGTGAACAAATCTCAAATTTGGAGAGAAGAGGGTGGTTAGCAGTATGGCAGATAGAAGGAGATACCGTGCCAGCTGCAACAGCTTCTCCATGGAGCCACTCTCCATAACCAAAGCCAGTTTCTATGGCCTGCAAAAAGAAACTATAGGTGATGGGTGGATCTTGGCCCGAGAAAAATATACGTCCATAGAGGCCGTCATAGACTACTTACATGGCCAAATGTATGACCCAAATTTAGGGTTGCTCGCAAGCCGCTTTCCTTCTCATCTTGGGACACAACGTCTGCCTTGTTTTCACATGATCTCTTTATAGCAAAGGCTAATGCAGCTGGATCCCTGCGATGAATTTTTACAGGGACAGACTCATGATCTCAAAGTTTTTGTTTTGGGCACACTTGTAATGTTAATAATTACCTTGCCAGCAATGCCTCAATGTTCTTCTCCTGCCATTCAAAGAACTCGGCATCCCTGATAAGCCCGTACTTGATCACTTCAGCGAGGCCTGATGCCATCTCCCTATCTGGCAATGTGTTCAATGTGTCAGTGTCTACTAGCACACACTGTGGTTGGTAAAAAGCACCGATCAAATTCTTTCCAAGACGATGATTTATGCCTGTTTTGCCACCTACAGAAGAATCAACCTGAAAGGCAATGAAATGAATTGAATTGCAGCGACAAATAAAGACCTTTTTCAGGATGTTAATGATTTAGACAAGAAATTCCTAGAACCTGTGCCATAACAGTGGTAGGAATTTGGATGAAATTAACACCACGCAGGTAAGATGCAGCAGCATATCCACACATATCTCCTATCACACCGCCCCCAAGGGCAACAAATGTACATCGTCTATCTAGGCGAGACTCAATGGCCTTGTCGAAGACTTTCATGAGAGTATCCTAGAAAGAATCAAGAACTGATGATTACTATTGATTCATTATTATAAACGGGGAAATCAAAAATCCAAGATAACAAATACCATGTCCTTGTATTTCTCTCCATCAGGCAAAATTACACTCTCCACAGTGACGTTGGGATTTCCTCTGGTTAAAGCATCTATAGTCTTGTCCAGGTAGAGAGGAGCAACTCGATCATTGGTGACCACAAGCACTCTCTTTCCATGAACATGCCTAAACATTCAACAAGAAATTAAGTAAGAAGAAACTCCAAAAAAACTGAGAATGTGCTCGGAAATTCACAAACAAAACCATTGGCCTAAAGAGAGGTCAAGATTCGAGCCGTTTGATGGTGGCGAATATTAAAGCTCAAAAATACGATCTTCTACACATTTGACGGGCATAAATTAAAATGGCACAAAAGATGAGACCTTTGAAGAAGTTCAGAGTGATCGAGCAAGCCGGCGCCGATATAGATCGGATAACTCCGGTCACCCAGATCAACCTCGACGACTGTGGGAGAAGAGAAGGAGCGTTGATCGTTAAGCGGTTCGTTCATGAGCTGGCTAGCACCGGCGCGCACACGAGACTTGGAAAGAGTCGTGGAAGATAAAGATAGTTCGCCAGGTTTAGACTTTGCCGGAAAAGAAATGGTTGGTGGAGGAGCAATAAAGGCAGGGCTTTGAAAGGAGCTGAGATTCTTAGAGGCGGCGACGTTGGAAGAGATGGAAAGAGAAATGGTGTTGGCAGCCATGGAAATCGATGCGGGTCAGAAGTCGGGTTTAGGGAGAAGAAAAGAAATTGGGTTGGTGAAGAAGACTGAATTGAAGAAATACATTTAGTGGTGAGAGGTTTGGGAGACGGCGTGGGGTAGGTGGTGGTGAGTCTCTCAGGCGGGCTATTGCTGTAATCCCCTACAACTCACCCTACGCTAAGTGACCCACGTGGGATCGGCGGTCTCGATATGGCCACGTCATATAAAGACCTGACTACTAGTCTTCTCATGTACGCCTCCTCAGATTTAACAAAACGGTGTCGTCTTGATCGACCCGCGAAAAAACTGGAGGAGCGAGCCAACAGCGCTTAACAGTTAACACTCCCAATTCCCAAATTCGAAATTCGAGACAAAAACGCGACGTTGAGGAGGATCCGATTACTCGGAAGTTCCGTTCGTCTTCCATAAACCCTATTAAGGCAATTCGATTGGGATATCTGAAAAGTTTCGGCTACGGCGGCAAAAGGAAAATTCAATGCTTGACAAAAAACTACTATCCCTAGAAGATGACGATAACTTAAGGTCATCGCGTTCTAATACCAAGTCCAAACCCAGGTCCTCTGCTGCTACCACAACCAATCCTAGAGCGTCAAAGAGAGCTCGACTTTCGGGTGCGAGTCTTGTAGATAAGGTCTCAATTTCTTTCTTTCTACATCTTTTTTTGTGTTTTTGCTGGTCACCTTGATGATGGTCTTGAGTTTCGCTTTTGTATGTCTCGCAGATTAGATTGTCTTTCGAAGATTTTGATGAAGCTTTAAGCGGCTTCAAGGTCTCTTCTGGTACGCCCCTTTTTTATTATTGCTGTTCCGCTATGATGCTTCTTACGGTTTATTATTGGAGCTTATAATCTCTTGTCATTTCATTGCTCTGTGGTCTCTTGTTTAGGTTATGAAAGGAGCAAGAATACCGATTTATGGGTTGATAAATACAGGCCTCGCACCTTGGAAGAGCTTGCTGTTCACAAGAAGAAGGTTGCTTTCCTTTTAGCACTGCTTTCTCCTTTGTTCACCTACTCATCTCCTTTCTTGTTTTTTGTTAACCTTCAGGTTGAACAAGTCAAATTGTGGTTCGAGGAAAGTTTGGATTTCTCAAAGGTAATGTTTCGTTTATCTTTGAAATTGTTTTTTGATTTCTGAGCTCGTGATGCTTGGATGGCTTTCTTCACTTTTTTTTGGTTTTCTCTATCACCAGGATGGTTTAAGGAATAATGTTCTACTAGTCACAGGACAAGCTGGAGTCGGAAAATCTGCTACCATCCATTTGATTGCGTCTATCCTTGGAGTCACAGTGTACGAGTGGAACGCTCCTATTCCTACTATCTGGCAAGAACATGTGCACAACTCTAGTTCAGGTACTTAAAGGAAATATTGTTGTTAGTTACTCAGTCTTGGCACTGCTATTACAGAACAGACAATGGTTGTTGTACAAATCCGGTAATAATCTGCTGGATTTTCATTAATCTTTCTAGGACTGAAATACACATCGAAGCTGGATGAGTTTGAAAACTTTGTCGAGAGTACTAGGAAATACGGAGTGATGGCTTCATCAAGTACTGAGGGAATAAAGGCGCCCGTTATTCTTTTGATTGATGACCTTCCTCTAGCCAATGGGAGGCATGCTTGTGAAAGGCTGCAAAACTGCTTACTTCTATTGGTGAGATCAACGCAGATTCCAACAGTGATATTAATCACTGACTACGATAAAGCGGACTCTTCTGACCAGACTGCGCGAAGCATGGAGGACGCACAGTCATCTCTTGAGCGAGCAGGAGCTTTAAAGGTTGCTTTATCAAACTATTTGCAGTCTAAATCTAATTATACATATGATTTTTTCAACTCTAGTTGATTGTCCAGGTATGTATTCGCAGGTCGCTTTCAATCCTATCACGAAGAACTCAATTAAAAAGGCACTTCAGAGAATATGCAGGGAAGAGCATTGTAAGGTAACGACTATGGAGATTGATCAGATGGCGAGTGCCAGTGGAGGAGACATCAGACATGCTATTACATCTTTGCAACTCTTCTCCGTTAAGCCAGACCTAAATCATACTAAGATAAAATCACCACGGCCTGGCATGGATGACAGTTATCATGGAAACGAGCAGACAATGTACAGTGGTTTGGATAGTGGAATATCTTCCTGTTTTGGTAGAGATGAGACCCTTTCGTTGTTTCACGCTCTGGGCAAGTTTCTCCACAACAAAAGAGAGACTGATAATGTCATTGTATCAGGTAATTCGTTATTAAGACATTTAAAGAATGCAATTTAGAGCTCAGGATCACTATCTTCTAAGGTAATGTTTGTGTCAGATTGCAGCAACTCTCTTGTTCATGACGAATTTGCGAGGTTGCCACTGAAAATGGATGCGCCGGAGAAGGTTCTCAGCCAAGCTCATGGACAGGCAGGGCGGGTTGTGGATTTTCTGCATGAAAATGGTATCAACTACTGCCTCGTCTTGACTATCCAGTATTGAGTTAGCATATGCATTATTTTCTTCCTTGATAGAGTGACTCAGGAGAGCATACTTAAACTTACATGTGTGCGTGCTTTTTCAAGTGAAACATTTTCTAAAATGGACTCATAATGTTAATGAAGTGCTAGATTTTGTGAGTGAGGGAGCCATAGAAGATGCCTGGTGTGTTTCTTCGTATTTGGCGGATGCTGATCTCCTTCTCGCTGATTTAAGAGGAAAGATGAGTGGGCATAACAAAACAGAGGATGTTCCACAGTCAGCCGGTGCCTCGGTTGCTGTCCGTGGTGTGTTGTATGGAAACAAGCAGCCATGTTCATCCAGGTTTCTTTCACAGGATTCTAGTTGACTGTATTGTAATTTGTTTGAAATTAATATTATCGATTGATCTGAATTGTGAATATACAGATGGCACGTGATTCGGAAGCCAAAACTCTGGCAAGTGGAGCAATCCTCAATGCAAACAAAGGTCGGGGTCTTTTCCTTTTTTTCAGGAATATAAACTAATTATACATGAATGCATATCAAACCTGTATATATGCTTACAAATTTGATGTGTGAATGCAGAAGAATCTGAGAGAGCAGAGGAACATAAGCTATGAGGGGTCAAGGGTGGCAGATATATCAGTGATGGCCACAGAGTATAGCCCCGTGCTGAAATGGCTTAGCTACAGGGCATCTCCAGATGCGTTTGCAGGAATGGGCGAAGAGACGGATGAGGAGGAGAGTGAAATTTCTGAAGACGATGAAATACAAGATTGGTGACATGAACCATCTTTAGTCTCTTACATGTTAGGTCAGATGAACTGGTATGATTGTTAACATCAAGGGAAGGAAAACTAATTGTTCTGGTTACTTGTAAATAGGAAAGTGACAGTCTTAGTTGGCTGGTCGAGTTGGTTTAGAAGAAACTGAAGGAGAGATTTTACTTTGACTTTTCTTTGAAGATATGAAGCAGATAAATATCTTTTTTTCACCACAGACACCAAGGCTTTGGGCGGAGAGCCTTTAGTTTTGTCCCAATCAAATCCACTTTTGTCCTTACCAAGGCAAAAAAGCCCCTTTCTACCTTTATGTTATTGAGGGCATTTCGAGAACTAAAAGACAATTTCAACGGCTGCAAAATTTGGAAGAGGAAACGAGTTCAACGCCGGGATACGAATTTATTACCAAGTAGCATGTTCGTTTCGTCGCCGCAGCTACCTGCGGCCGCGGCAGACGCAAGTATCCATGTTCGTTTCGTTGTCGCAGGTACATGCGGCATAACGCTGCGGCGAACGCAGCTACCTGCGGTTGAAAATTTTGAATGCTATTTAAATTCAGCTTCAAACGATTAAATAATTACGATCTGCGGCTGCGGCGACGAAACGAACAACAACCTGCGGTAGTGTTGCCGCCGCAGCCGCCAACGGCGACGAAACGAACAGACTAATGTTGTTAGTTTTGACAAATGGCGAAACCTTTAGTCAAATACTTGATTACTTGTAGATTGATACTCTCTCCGTTTCGTTTTAGTTATCGTTTAAGGTTTTCTCACACAAATTAAGAAAAACATTAAATTTTTTGTTTTATTCTTTATTAATATATTTTATAAAAAAATTTATTGACCGAAACATTAAAACAGTAGGGATAAAACTGGAATTTTCACCAAACATTTGCATCGAAAACGACAACTATTATGAAACAAAATTTTAAACTCTAAAACGACAAATAAAGCAAAACGGAGGGAGTATATAGTACATGATTTTCATTTTTGATCAGAGTGTTTTAATGACTTAAAAGAGAAACCCACTCAAATAAAGAAGTTAGGTTAGTTAAAACTCCCTCCAGAACTGGAACGTCAGAGCAACTCTCTGTCTCCAAATGCAACATTTAATCAAAGTTGGTTAGTCATGCTTTGGACTTTGGAGGTATCAAACCAAGTTGAAGGACAAACCAACCAACAAACGAAAACAGCTGAGATATCTAATCAACCCAGAAATTTTGTGGAGCAGGTCTTCAAACCAAACATCAACAAGTACATAAATGATAATTGAGACCAAAGAGCAGTCTTTGTGGCTGAATTGAGATATTGTTTTATCAAGTTTCCTTTGGAGGGCCTTTCTTGGCTGCTTCTGCGGCCGCCTTTTCAGCTTCGATCTCTGCCACAATTGCATCAATTTCAGCTTCTTCTAGCTGGCGCAGCCCAGTTTCCTCCCGTGTCATTACAGCAACCTCAATGTTCTTTCCTCCGCTTTCAACTACCTGCAATGCAAAGATGATATCAGGCTAGGCCATACCAAATAATAGATATGATCTCAAAGGAAAAGAAACCCTGAAATAACAAAAACATCAATATCAGCTAGGAGAGGGCAACCTCAAGAAGAGCACGGATAGCGAGTTTAATAGTTTCTTGGCCAGAGGATTCTTTGTAGTTCTTCTCCAGGAATTCCCTAATAGAGTTGGAGTTTCTACCGGTTGCATTAGCTTTCCAAGCAGAGAAAGTGCCAGAAGGATCAGTCTGATATAGGGAAGGCAGACGAGAGTAAGGGTCGAAGCCAACGATAAGAGTAGAAAGACCGAAGGGTCTGACACCACCACTTTGGGTATACTTCTGTTGAAGGCCAGCAATGTAGCGAGTGATGTACTCAACAGTGACAGGGTCCTCTAGTGTAAGCCTATGGCTTTGACACTCGATCCTAGCTTTGTTAATCAAGACACGGGCATCTGCCTTGAGCCCGGCGCATGCCAAGGCAATGTGGTTGTCAAGGCTCACAATTTTTCTGGCTGATCTGTGAGAAACAAGCGCAAGTCATTGAAGACAGCAGCTTCATCTATCAACTACTTTTTTTCATTTTATGTCTCCATAATATATTGGTTAGGCAGCAGTATAAGAGAATTGAACAATTAAGTTGATTCCCTTCCAGGGAATGGCCTGAGACATTCGCAATTAGGAACAAGGATCGTTTTAAACTAGTGTTTCAGCTGCAAATTCCATCCATTAATTAAGAACTAGCTAGTGAGAGAGTAAACAACAAGTAAAGAGCGCAATTAAGCGAAGAGATGGAAATAAAACCTAGAATCCTGAAGCTTGGGGGTAGATTTCTTCTCGACGGCGAGGACGACGGTGTCGGTACCGCGGACACCGACGGTGGCGTTACCCTTGCGGACGGCTTCAAGGGCGTATTCGACTTGAAAGAGGTGACCGTCGGGGGAGAAGACAGTAATTGCTCGATCGTATCTAGCCATCTCTATCCGATGATGTTACTTTTCCAATTCGTTTCGTTTTCAGGGCAAAAAAAGACGAATCCCAACTTCTGCGACAAGCCAACAACACAAAATTGAAAAGGAAATTCTCTCTACTTGAGAGAAGTGAAGAGAGACGAATCGCGCACTCACTCATTCATTTCCTTTAAATGGGCCTTAAACTTCCATAACAGGCCCATTAACACAGTCTAATTATTAATGGTCATTTAAAAATACAAACATACTAGATTTTAACCCGCGGTGTACCGCGGGTCGACTTTTTAACTAAAAAGTTTTAAATTTTAAGTTGTAATTATTTTGTTAATATTATTTGTTTTGTTTAGTGTTTAAGATTATATATTGAATTTTGATTATTATTTCTAGGATTTTAACCCGTGGTATATCTTCCGGTATTATTATCGATCTAAACCCGTCCCACCATATAACCCCGTCCCACCATATAACCCCGTCCCGTGAAATTAAACATCATTTTTTTTTAATAACACATTTGTTTAGAAAACATATAATTCGAGTCAATTTAAAAGTTTGTTTTTAAGTGGTTCCATAGTATAAATATTTATAATTTTTATAGTGTTCAAATATTATTAATATTATAAACTTTTTATGGAATTAAATATTATAGATGAAAGTGAGTGATTTATAAAAAAAAAAAAGAGATGTAAGTGATTCAAATCAAAGAAGAATAGGAAGAACCTTAGTCCAAGACATGTAGAAAATGAAGCAAATGATTTGCAGAGCTGAGGGACGGCGAGAGTGGAACCATGCACATTGATTTGATGACTAAATAACCTCACTTATATATAGAGAATAAGTAGTCCATTGATTTAGGTCTTGTTATGATACAATATTAACAAAAAAAAAAGATTTGATGAGTAATTGTTATCTTTAAGTTATATATTTACGTAATTATTTTCCTAAAAAGTCTACAACAGTTATTAGGTTCTGTAATTGTTTTAGGAAATTATTTATTTTGCAATACATTTGTCGTTAGAAAGTTTTTAAAATAAAAGGAAATTATTGTTTTTATTTATTATTGCAATTAATGATGGATCTTTAATTATGAGAAATCATACCAAATATATTTGAAGATTACAGTAAATCACGGAATAGTTATTATCGAGATTTTTAAAGTAATTAGTTGGAGGAGATTTGAGGAACGATCTTTAGAATAATATCTTTAATTAATTTTTTTAAATCTTAAGAATTAACTCCAATGGCATTGTTTGTAAATACATTCCAACTCCAAGATTTATTTGCTAAAAGTCATTTAAAAATACAAACATATATATTGGCGCAAATAATCATCCCACAAACAACTTTCTTCTTCTTCGTTGTTTCTGAGAAAACTCAACCACAAATGTACGAATCTCCATTGGACCAAGCTCTACTACTAAAGTCGACTTGTCAACGGCTCCCCCTCTTTGCGGGGAAGAAGCTTCTTCCGCTTCACCCTCCACTTTCCACTTCATCTTCTCTTTCATCTTCGCTTTCTCTTGATTTCCTGACAAACTCATTTCCGTCACTTCTTTGATCTGCAAAAAAAATCAATATGGATTCAGTTACCACCTAGCTCTACATGTTGATTATTAGATGAGCAAGTGTGTTTCTTACCATTTTCCCGGAAAACAACTTCTTCAGCTCAACTTTAGCGGTTTTCGAGTAATCACTGTCTTCTCCAGCCTGTATACAACAACACTCAATTACTGTCATATAGTATATACCAATTCAAAAACTTCACAATGTACCTCGTAGAGATGAGCCAGGCGAACAAGGACGTTCCCGAAATCCATTCCCTCAAGAGTGATGAGAGCAGTGTTTTGAGGCAAGGTGTAGAGAGGATCCATGGCATAACCTTTCACAGTATTGGAGGCTTTCCATTTCTCCTTGTTCTCGTGTGCGAATGCCATTAGAAGAGGAGAGTATAATTCCTGCCCAGTCTCTCGTCTCCACCGCCCTCCTTCTCCTATCCTATTTATGCTTACATAGTAATTCCCACGAACCTGCATTTACACAAGTATGTTTCAAGATTTTTCCTGGACAAAACACACACAATTCATCAATTGTTTATTCATTCATACCGTTAATCCTGCGCAGGTACCATTCACACACACAGTTTCTGCAAGGCCCTCCTCTACTCCTCTCGCGTCATCCATGCACGTACTCCTGTTCCCATGTGTTCACTCAACCACACAATATGTATTTCTTGACTTTAAAATACAGACTGATGAAATTTGGAACCTGTGAAGCATCAACTCTATTTCACCGTTCTTAATACTAGCACCCCCAGTAGCCCGATCAACCAACACCGACAACTCTGCTTTCTCGTCTTTTGAGTACATTCCAAGATTAAGCTGAAGAATCATACTAACAAAGCGTTAACACAATCGATCTACTCCAAAATTTTCTTGATTTTGCAATTTCAGCTGGACATCAAATAGTTTACCGGATAGTAGTTTCCTGCTATTGGCTCATTCACTTGGAGATGCCAGTCTGTTCGGTTGTCCCGGACCTGCATTAGAGATCCTCAGGTACAGATTTTTAATACCCTATTCGTTGCAACCCGGAAACAATCTCATTGGTGTTTGAAATATATGAGAATACAGAAAATTCAGGGTACCCGTTTCAAAAAGTCTCTTCCATTAGAGTCAGTATAGAATGCCTTATCCGTAGTCATATTTGTTACCATTCGCGTGATAATCTCTTTCCCTATTAGATCTCCATTACCGGAAGGAATTGGACCAATCTGTTAAAGAGAATGAGCCTGAGGGATCTTTTTATCCAAAACACATTAAATAACCTGAATTAGAGTTTTGGAGAACACTCACAGTGAACTCAAACTCGGCGTGCTCTTTTTCTTTGTACAGTCTTACCACCTAGATAACATAACTACTTATCAAGTAAGGATTTTCAAATAGTTATATGCCATCAATTTAACAATGACTTACCTGTGCCACCCACGGACTAAACTGCTGGTGCACCTCATCTATCAAAGGCCCTCGCACAATCTGCAACTTTGGCTGCGCATTACCATTGCCAATGAAAGCATCGGTTACGGTCCATATCTTCTAAGCAAGTATTGTATGGACTATCTATTACTTCTATCATATAGATTTTATGGGTTTACTACAAAACGATATATGGTGTGTAGAAAACCATAGAAATGCTAGAAAGTTATTTTTTTTTTTTTATCTAATATCTTGATGATAGAACCTCAGCATCTCAATGCTCTTACAGTATTCATAGACTCACTTTGGAAGACGAAACAGGATACGCCAAGGAACCATTAGGTCGAAAAATATATGCACCGGAAACCTGGGGATCTTTTGCGTCCCCACCATTTGAAGCATACCAGAAATAGTTCTGATCCACCATTATGTCAGCCTGGAAGATATTTATTAGAAGCAAGTGTGATTGAACTTTTGTCTAACAAGATTCCCCAAATTAATGAACCAAAAAGTTTCAGTGTGAAGGAGTAAACGAAACATTACTCCTGTTCTGGAGTTGTATATCCGTTCGAGACGACCAGAGTCTGAAGAAAACACCATCTTTACATTTCCTGGACCAATTTCAGTCGTATTTTTCACCGGACTAAGCATCACTGAAGAGTGTGTGTGATTACTGCTTCCTATAGCGTTGAATGATACCAAAAAGTGAATCATGAGTGAAAGGCACATGTTTAACTTGCTATGGAAATTCTTACAGTTAGCATGAGCCTGTCTCTCCATACCTTGTGCGGATGCTTTAGATATGAAGAATGTGTTCCAACCAAGTGGCGGTACTGTTGCCTTAAACACGAGCCAATACTTTGGAATCTGCAGGGAAGATATTCCTAAATAAGCTTTTGTATAGAAACTTCTGAGGTTGCTCGTGACATTATCCATGGGGATGTATTGAGCATCAAGGGTTTTTCCAGATGAATCCTCCACGCTTAGACCTGCATCATTGACCTGGTACATACCCTAACTCTTAGTAAAGAATTTGATCTCAAAGGAGCAAGTAAACACTTAGACGCATGATATATAACCGGAATCCTGATGATTTCTGTACGATTCCATCCAAGGGAGTTATACGCCACCAGAATCTGAAGATCAAACACTGAGATAGTTAAAGACCTGAGCTATATCTTAATGATTTTGGTAAGAGATGCGATGGATTTACCAAGCTCTTCTGGCTTGGAATGGTTTCTTCTGTCGATGGGCAGTAGCTGATATTCATCAACGAGCACTGCTCATTTGATTCCAAGAGAAGATATAAACCAGGTGATTACGAAAGATGACACACAATAATCTTTTACTCTAAATTCCAACAGGAAATAAATCACTCCCACACCGGTCATCACCATAAAATTGATTCTTCAATCACATTTCTATAAGAAAAATGAAAACCAAAACGAGTTTCTTAAAGATTTAACCTGGCTGAATGCTATTGCAGGCTTTGTGCAGCCACCTTTTGGTGCCTTGTTCAATAGGCATGCCAGCGCAGCATTCACCACAGCTTCTGCCTACGGAAAATATGATTACTGATAAATAAATAAATAAAAAAAAAGACAGAGAAAAATGAAAGAGAATAGTTTTCATATATAGTATCTTACCTCAGAAGCACCAACAGCAAGGCGTTTCATGTAATCATTTGTTACATGCTGCTTGGCAGTTCCAGTGACAGCATCGTGGTGCTGCGCTATCGCTAAAGCATCCCCAAGACTGCAAGTATTTGGTCCTCCAGATTTCTTGCCTACCCGAAATTCAAGTTGCCTTGCAGCCTGCATTCAAGGCCATGTAACTCATGTTTGAATTTCACTAGGAAAATCGAAATCGGACTCCGGGAAATGCAGTTTGATACCATGTAGTATCCGCTAAGAGCCCGAACATAACGTTTAAGAGCAGGACGGCTGGTGAAGTAGCCAGTCCAGTAAGCGTATGCCCGATCCGCATATCTGCAAGGTAGCGGGGAAAGTATTGAGAAAATTAAAATGTTGAACAAGGAATATGTAAATGTATTTAAATAGAGTACTACAGGCACTCACGGGAAAAAATCACCAGTCTTGAGAGGCCAAGTAACATTGGCATCATTCTTGGCATCCACATAGAGAGATGGTGTGGAGTACAAGGCGTTGACACGGCCATCCTGTGGAATGGAATTGGTGAGAATCTAGTCTCCAAGACAGCGAGAATAGGCGAAGCAAAGAGATATCAAAACCTTGTTAACGTAATGGATGAGTCTGTCCATCTGCCTGAACCAAGACTCGGCGAACTGGTACTGAAAATCATCACCCATTGTCCACATCACATGGTTCCCTCGACTCACATTGGCCTATACATACCCATATTGACTACTTTGAGAATCCAAGATTACACATACATACACTTGAAAAAAAACATGAAGAAAAACAATACTCAGGACTTACATAAACCAGAGAAGCATTGACGAAATTATCAACGGCCTCCTTAATGTTATAGGCATCGAAACGAGGGTTGTCCTGCAAAATCACCAGTGAATCGAATTCCCCTAAACCAGAAAATCAAACGGGAGAAAGAAGAAGCGAACCTGGAGGGGGACGTAATCGTCGGTGACTTCATAGTGAAAGCCAGTGGGAGGGCCGTAATGAACAAGAAAGACATTGGTGAATATCTGAGAAGAAGAAGCCAATGTTTTTGATCCTCTCCAGATTACTTCTAGTGATTTCTCGGCCTTTCTCTTTTCTCTGTCTTGGTAATCGATTCTCGCGAAATGCACAGAATCCAACCCTAACTGCACCCACAATATTAAAAGGCAACAACTTTTTAATTTGAGTAAATAAAGATAATAGAAGGAAGGACCTCTGCTCCAAGGAGGTAAGCTTGCACAGAGGAATGACCAAAGGGGTCGATTTGCCAAGCAGCACGTGGAGTTGTATTGAACTGTTGCTTTATAAACCGATGCCCCTTTGTGGTTTGGTCTATCATATCTATGTAATGGCACGTTGCTTCATCATTCATAGCCCATCCTCCATTTCTACACACCATATACATTGATTCTGTAAATTATCACTACCCAAAATGATCAAATTAAGGTAGAGTGACCAACTTACACAAACTCTAGTTGCCCCGATTTCACTAGTCTCTTCACTTGCTCTTGTGTCTCGGGGCTTTGTTCTTCCCACCAACGCGTAAAGAAAGCCTTTTTTATGTAATATAGATATATTCACATAAGAGAAGAAGAAGAAGAAGAAGAAGAAGAAGAAAACATGCATATATTGTTTTATGAACAAAACGTTAGGAAGCAATGTTTCACCATTTCCGCAAAAACAAACTTTCTATTGGGATCGCCAAGTAGAGAATCCACCACCGAGTCTAGCACGTTCCGCACACAAGCGTTCTTGAAACCACACGATTCGTTGGGCTCGTGTCTACATATACATGATATATTCATCTCTATACAAGTACATAACATACCTGGATACTGTTGTTCGATCCTACATAGTACTGATCAACAGTTTTCAACCACCCGACATCGTCATGCGAATGCGGAACAAGATGAACATTTAGTTTCCCCGGAACCACTTTAGCTTCGGTGCCATACTTCACGTAGCCCCCGCCTTTGACGCTCTCAACCGACAACCGGAGAACAGAAACAATAACACAAAGTGCTCCTTTCAATAAAGACAAACCCGGTTTTGCCATTTTCCGATGGCCAGGCGCTCGAGATTCAGATGTTCTTCTTCTTACAGGAAAGTTATATCAATAAACAACAAATGGAGAGCAAAACAAGGGTCAAACCAATAGACCGATCCTAATCGTTTGTTTTGCTCAGATCCGTCGGTCTCCGTAAGTGTTTCTCTATTGTTTTACTGTGACTAGATTGTCATTTCAACACATGTAATATTTTCTTACAAATTCAAATAAATTGTGACCATAAAATAGTACTATTAATCCTTTTTTCTTTTACTTTTTGTCAATTTTTGTATTAACTAATTTGACTACTAAACAATAAATTTTAAATTGTTTTGTTTGACATTAGTCACTTGCCATTTTAAGTTTATTTAAAAAATAGTTTTGGGAAAAACTATCTTCCTTTGATGATACACAAATCAATAGATTTAGAGATAATTAAACCACGTAACTTGTGAATGTAGGAGGTTGAATTATACAATGTACGTAAGAGAATAAAGCAAATCTCTGAGATTGAGCTCAACGAATCATTTACATTTTTGGAATGGTATAAATTGGAACATGTTTTTCATTTGGCTTTTGTTTTCTTTGGACGGCGTCGTTTTTATATCTGATTCACCTTGGACGGCATCCATATTGTAAATGAATGAACTTGTTTTTAAAAGCCTCTGAGGAAAGTAGAAGGTTCGGGTGAAGAAACCAATGCATTTCGGCGACCGCCGGGAACTGAAAAGCCATCGATCAACCGAGAAAGCGAAAAGAGAGAGAGAGAGAGAGAGATGAGACTCGTCGTCTCAAGCTGTCTACTAGCTGCAGCTCCTTTTCTCTCTTCACTGTTACAAGTTTCACTCGCCACTGTTGTCCTCAATTCCATCTCCGCCTCTTTTGCCGATCTCCCTGCCAAATTTGGTCAATTTCTCTCCCCCTTGCCTTTTCCTAATCCCAATCAATTTCTCTTCAATTCCTAATCTGATTTTTGATTCTAGACGGCTCCGTAACCAAAAACGGAATCTGTGGAGCTCTATACGTCGCAGATCCTCTCGACGGTTGCTCACCGCTGCTCCACGCCGCCGCATCCAACTGGACACAACAGAGCACTACTAAGTTCGCTTTGATTATCCGAGGCGAATGTTCTTTTGAGGATAAGCTGCTCAACGCACAGAACTCTGGTTTTCAAGCTGTGATTGTCTATGACAACATTGACAACGAAGATCTCATCGTTAGTAAGCCTTTTGCCTCTCACCCAACTTTAAATTCCATCTTTTTGATGAGAGCTGAATTTCATTGGGGTTCATTTATTTAGTCAACGCCATAAGTTTGGACATTCCTAGACCAACATCTTGTTTTGCACAGTGAAGGTGAACCCTCAGGACATTACGGTTGATGCAGTCTTCGTTTCAAATGTCGCCGGTGAGATTTTGAGAAAGTACGCCAGAGGCCGAGATGGTGAATGCTGCCTTTATCCGCCAACCAAAGGGAGCGCTTGGACTGTGTTGGCCATCTCATTCTTCTCTCTCCTTCTCATTGTCACTTTCCTGTTGATTGCCTTCTTTGCACCCAGACACTGGACCCAATGGCGAGGCAGGCACAACAGGACCATCAGGTTAGATGCAAAGCTCGTCCACACCCTCCCCTGCTTCACCTTCACTGATTCTGCTCACCACAAGGCCGGAGAAACATGTGCTATATGTCTTGAGGATTATAGATTTGGAGAAAGCCTCAGGCTTCTACCCTGCCAACATGGTATTCTTTTCTTTCTCCACCATTAATTTGTTCATTGAGGTCTTGGATATATATTTTATGGGACAGAGATCTTCCCTTCACAGGAGGGAAGCATGTGCTTAATCTAGGAAGACTTTGATAGGTTTCTCTTAGATTCTAAGTTTATAAGATAGATTTCTTTTTCTAGCATATCAATTGATTCGAATGATATGATGGGTCAAACATGTACAGCAGAAGAATCATCAAAGATTTGGCCTTTTTAAGTTTATGTAAGTGGGTAATTCATATCAGTTGGTTGACTTGAAGCTCTTATGCAGCTTTTCACTTGAGTTGCATCGACTCTTGGTTGACAAAATGGGGTACATCTTGCCCAGTGTGCAAGCATGACATAAGAACCGAGACTATGTCTTCTGAGGTGATCCTGTTGGACTGACATCTTTGTTGCCATATGTATCAATCCTTTTGAGTTGTTGTTTTTGTGTTGGATTCAATACACTGTTTGTTGTTGTTTTATTGCAGGTACATAAACGAGAGAGTCTGAGAACAGATACAAGTAGATTTAGCTTTGCTCAATCCAGTCAAAGCCATTAGATTTGTTGTTATCGGCTTATAGCAGCTGAACACACATATCAGTGCTCGGTTACGTGGATCAGGTCCAGGTTTGCATCCTATATTGAATGGTTAATCAGGGTGGGATAAGCATAGGTAAAGTGACTGGATTTGCCATAGTGGTCGATGCTGTGCTCGTTTTCCCGGATAAAAAAGATCTGAGTTGCTTTGCTTGTTGTTCTTTGCATGTGTACATTCCTTGTACATTTACATACGCCCGGAGTCATTCCAGTTTTTTTTTTTTTTTTTTTTTAATATAATTGATCATTGTGTGTGTGTGTTGCTTCGTGATCTTCTTATCTGTGAATTAGAAAAAATGTTTGATCTAATGAGATTTTCTCTCTCCGATCCAGGCAAATCTTTAATGGTAATCTTGTTGATTTTAAAGGGGATTTCTTTGTCTAAAGTTTGTATAATTTAAATATTGAATCCGAGTCCCTTACATTGGGGAATGGAATCCATTGAAGGTGGCTTTGATTTTATCTTGTCCATAGTAATAATAAATAAAAAAGAACACGTCATCCTCATCTCCACCTAACGGTCTCATCCAATACGAAGACTCGTTCATGGGGTCGTTAGTTGCCCAATTCCATCACCATAACTTTCTTCTTTCCATACTCTTTAACTTGTTTTGGTTACTAAATTCAGCCAACATCTCCCTCTAATCAGTGAACACGTTTTCTATGCAGGCTTTGGTGCCTCTCTTATCATAGCTGTCCAAGAAGATTATCTTAGATTCTTTATTGTAGATTTCATTTTACTTGCGTATGGCAACAAATTTCTAATGGTTAAATCATATACCATTATTTATATTGGCCATGCATTTGTATAAGTGGAATATAAAACAATATTATCTGTGTTTGGTCCTATATATTACTCTCTGCTCTCTTCCTGAAGCTTCATCTTTTGTTTGGCAAGAAGAGGGAGAGAAGATCAGATGTCTCAATCAATCTCCTCCAGCACAAAGGCAGAAGAAGTTGTTAGTGTAGATGTGAGCGAAGCCAAGACTCTCCTCCAGTCTGGGCATCAATATCTTGATGTTAGGTGAGCTCCTGATCTATTCTATCATCTCCATGTCTATGCATGTATGTACCAGCTGTTGGAGTTGTTAATTCCTTGCACATGCAGGACTCAGGAAGAGTTTAGGAGAGGCCATTGTGAGGCAGCTAAGATCGTCAACATTCCCTACATGATCAACACACCTCAAGGTAATAAAAAATGAACCACCTTTAATTTGAGATATCAGCCAGCATAATGGAAAGCCTTGTGATCTCTACTCTAGGTAGAGTGAAGAATCAAGACTTCTTAGAGCAAGTCTCTTCTCTTCTCGACCCAGCTGATGATATCCTTGTGGTAACTCTTTTCTTCCTTAATTACTTTTTTACACATAGGAAGTCCTTAAGATCAAAATCACATGAAGAGGGATTTTAATCATGGGGTTGATAAAATATGGTAAATGATATGTATGATACAAACAGGGTTGTCAGAGTGGAGCCAGATCCTTAAAAGCCACAACTGAACTTGTTGCCGCAGTAAGTATATATACTAATTTATACACTCCGACTAATGTGTTTAATCTCCAAAGAATCATTCATATTATATATGGTAAAAATTAGGGTTACAAGAAAGTGAGAAACATGGGAGGTGGCTACTTGGCCTGGGTGGATCACAGCTTTCCCATCAACGAGGAGGAGGAGGAGCCATCTGCAAACTAATCATATTAAGATTCTCATCCTTCTTGTCGAATAATATAATTGCCAGTGTGATGTAATAAATCATTTTCTATTTAGAATGTTTGCAGATGTGGGACAAAAAAACTTTCTTATTAAACGTTCACTTTGTCCCCACATCCATACATTACAAGTTTCAAATTAACCGAATTGGGCCAAGTTACTTGGACCGGACCCATGAAAATAAAAGGAAACTGATAAGTCGGCGTTATACTGTGCACATCCCACATCGTTTAGTTGGAATTTGTCCCTTGAAACTTGTCCTATAAATTAATGCACCTGCTTCTTTAGTAAGATATCAACTGGACTTTAAAGTCACGGCCCATTTTTTGATAAGAGGCCTTTGGGATTTAAATGAATTCCAACGTAAGTCGGCCGATTCGGCCGCCCACTTAATGGGTTAGGCCCTAGTTTTTTTTTCTCACAGGTTTTTTCGAGTCTTTTTGTAAAAATTGTTTTCAACGTTTTGTTTTTTTTTTTTCTTTGATAAGTGTTAAATTTTTTAATTTTGTGTAAACTAATTGGATACAACATCCAAACCCCTAAGAGGTGTTCTAGGTTCAATATGGTTTACACATTATTAAATTTTTAACAATTGTATTTTTTTAAAAATGTTTTGTTTTTTTTTTCTTTTTTTTTGATAAGTATTAAATTTTTTAATTTTGTGTAAACTAATTGGATACAACATCCAAACCCCTAAGAGGTGTTCTAGGTTCAATATGGTTTACACATTATTAAATTTTTAACACTTGTATTTTTTTTAAAATGTTTTGTTTTTATTTTCTTTTTTTTGATAAGTGTTAAATTTTTTAATTTTGTGTAAACTAATTGGATACAACATCCAAACCCCTAAGAGGTATTCTAGGTTCAATATGGTTTACACATTATTAAATTTTTAACATTTGTATTTTTTTAAAAATGTTTTGTTTTTATTTTTCTTTTTTTTTATAAGTGTTAAATTTTTTAATTTTGTGTAAACTAATTGGATACAACATCCAAACCCCTAAAAGGTGTTCTAGGTTCAATATGGTTTACACATTATTAAATTTTTAACACTTGTATTTTTTTAAAAATGTTTTGTTTTTTTTTTCTTTTTTTTTGATAAGTGTTAAATTTTTTAATTTTATGTAAACTAATTGGATTCAACATCCAAACCCCTAAGAGCACCCCCAATGGGTAATTTTTTGGGTTCTCTCAATCAGTTCTCTTCAAAAACAATTTCAAAAATAAATCAAAATCAAGATATAAGAAGAGAGACAGCTCTCTTGTGAGAGCTTTTGAGAGTTAGGAGAGCCGACGACGTGGCAGCTTCTCTTCCGTAGATCACAGTTCAGGCACCAAGCTTCAATTTCACACAAAGGATTGGCAAAATGGTGAGTGAGAGAGATGGATGATAGATGTAATATTCAAATTGCTGGTGTTGAATATCGAAGAGAAGACGAAGAGTGGCTCTGGCTCTCGTGTCGTTGTTGGTCGCGTCTGAAATTGGATCGAATCGTAGAGCCGGTTTCACGATCCCTTCCCTCCACTTCACGGAGTCGTCGGAGAATTATTTGGGCCAAAAGCCAGTTATTTGTGTCATATAAGTCCACTAGGCCCATTGGCTAATTATTTGATTAATATTGTACTACCTATTTAACTTAACTAATCGAACCTTATAATTATGTTCTGATTGACTAATTATTTAGAAACGGAATTATGTCATTTTCTATCATTCTTTTACAACATTTAAACTTTGACATGTTTGAACATTTATTCTGTGGCAACAATCAACAGAATAACTAATCGTTTTTTTTTTCGCAAATTTATTTTCAAATGTATGAAATTATTGTATGTTTAATATGCTATGAATTGTAATATTTTCAGTTTTATGAAATAAAATAATTAAAATAATAATTTAATTTTTTCCTGAGAACCCCACAAAGAGAGCCTACCATTAGACTTTGCAAAATTAAAAAAATTTAACATAAGTTCTCATCTCATAAATTTGAAAATTTTATTCTTAAAAAAATGGTGAGAGCCCATGGAGGGCTCTCACCATTGGAGATGCTCTAAGAGGTGTTCTAGGTTCAATATGGTTTACACATTATTAAATTTTTAACACTTGTATTTTTTTAAAAATGTTTTGTTTTTTTTTTTCTTTTTTTTTGATAAGTGTTAAATTTTTTAATTTTGTGTAAACTAATTGGATACAACATCCAAACCCCTAAGAGGTATTCTAGGTTCAATATGGTTTACACATTATTAAATTTTTAACATTTGTATTTTTTTAAAAATGTTTTGTTTTTTTTTTCTTTTTTTTTATAAGTGTTAAATTTTTTAATTTTGTGTAAACTAATTGGATACAACATCCAAACCCCTAAGAGGTGTTCTAGGTTCAATATGGTTTACACATTATTAAATTTTTAACACTTGTATTTTTTTTAAAATGTTTTGTTTTTTTTTTCTTTTTTTTTGATAAGTGTTAAATTTTTTAATTTTATGTAAACTAATTGGATACAACATCCAAACCCCTAAGAGGTGTTCTAGGTTCAATATGGTTTACACATTATTAAATTTTTAACACTTGTATTTTTTTAAAAATGTTTTGTTTTTTTTTTCTTTTTTTTGATAAGTGTTAAATTTTTTAATTTTGTGTAAACTAATTGGATACAACATCCAAACCCCTAAGAGGTGTTCTAGGTTCAATATGGTTTACACATTATTAAATTTTTAACACTTGTATTTTTTTAATGGAAAGCCTTGTGATCTCTGTGGATGTCGGATTCACACACTCAAGTATTTTGTTAAGTGGGAAAGATTATTCTTGAGGGACAAAAATAAATATGTAAAAAGCTTATAAATTGATACGAAAATTGCTATAGTATTTCTCTCTTGAGAGGAAGATCCCCTTTACATGGCCATTGGCCTCTATATTTATACATAGATAAGTGACATTAAAATGGACAATTAAGTACAATTATTCCTTCTTAAATGTGTCCGTTTTGATTCTTCGACTTTAATGCTCAACGTTTGAATTTGAGTTGACTCTGATTTTCATGGGCCTCGCCTTTTTGGCCCAAGTGTCCTCGAGCCGACCTACCCGCATCTTCTACTCCGAACTCACGTCTTAGTGTAGTCACTTCGGACTCTCGAAGTGGTGACAACCACTTCGACCGTCCCCTCGGTTCATGGGCCCAATGGGCTTCATCCTTTATGGGCCACCCGCTTGACTACGTGGCAATCTTTGGTTGGTCTCGTACTTCTGGTGCGGGATCCGACACCAACAATTAGCCCCCCAAGTTCTTCGAAGTGCTATTCCAATTCGGAGGACTTTAAATGATCAAGTGGCCAAAGATTGCGCTCGAAAATCTTTATGATTTCCCGCCGAAAATCCCATCACTCCTTTAATTTCGGCAAGTAGCCATTTTTAACCGAGTGACATCTGTCATCATTATGACCGTATATTGATTAATTACTATTAAAACGGGAAAAACCTTCCCACTACCCACACGACTTCCGAGGCGGTTTCATCATTAGCTTGAGGTAACTTCTTTTCACCATTACTCTCTTCTTTACTTTTGTACTTTAATCAAAACCTCTCTCTTCGTTTCTTCACCAAAACCCTTCTTCGCCGGATCTTGAATTTCTTTTTCTTCACAATGACTTCTGATTCCGATAGACCCGAGTCTCCGTCTTTCGATGAGAGGCGTTCTAGTAACGACGAGTGCACCCGCCCTGGTGACATTGCCGGTCCGCACTATAGGTCCACTTGTACTCTTCAATCCCTCGAGCGATTGAGAGAGCTTTGCCGGATCTCGCCGGAAATTATGGCGGAGGCACAAATAGCCTCCCCCACAGAATCTCCAGAGAACCATCGCGATGGTTACTTCTGTGTGTATGAGATTTATTTCAAAGGTTGCGGGCTGACCTTTCCTCTTCCCGAAGCCCTAATTTTATACCTAGCGGCCCTTGAAATCGCTCTTCCTCAATTAACCCCCAATCTTCTTCGTACTATTCTCGGCATTATAACAATCGCGGCGGAGGCCGGTTACGCTATCGGAGTTGCCGAATTAAACGAGCTTCTAAGCGTGAGAAGCTCGTCGAAGAAAACGGGGTATTTGTCAGCATATCCTAACGCCAACAGGAACATCATTTCGCATCTCCCAAACAAGGATGAAAATTGGCATCACCCTTGGTTCTTGATTAAGAAAACTCCCGCTTCGATTGGAAATCTTGCAGATTTCCTCCCTTCGAAGTGGTCGGCGAAACCTGGTAGAGATTAGGTCGCCCGTATCTTTCCCGGTTGTTTCTCTATCTTTATTAACTAACATCGTTGTTTCATTTCGCAGCTTTCATCGCTTCCAATCTCCCATCTGAAGAGTTCATCGAATTCTTCAAAATAATTCTTGAAGGGGAAACCCTTTGGAATTCCTTCACTCTCGAACGATTCATAGAGGCTAACCACAGACTCAGGATGAGTCCGCCTGGTCACCTTCACCAAATTCCTCCCCCTCCTTCTACCCAGGGAATGTCATCTCGGGCCCTTGCGGCCAAGCGTAAGTTGCTTTCCAAGCCGATGGCTGAGGCTTGCGAGGAGAAGAAAAAGTTTCTCGCGACTTCCATAGACAAGAAGGACTACAGTAGAACCTTGTTGGTTGATGACGGCAGCACCGAGGGAGCTCGATCTGTCGCTTCCTTCAGATTCACTCCTCGTCGCGATCGTCGCGACTCACGTTCTCCTCGGAGGGATCGATCTCCTCGCCGCGATTCACCCCGTCCTTCCCGAGATGATTTTAGTAACGAGCCAATTAAGAATTTGGTTCGCCGAAAGAGAGACAAATCCTCTCGTAGTGACCCTTCCCCGCAGAGGGAATCGTCAAGGGCCCGGACTGACCGCTCACCTCGGTCATCCCCTCCTGCTGAACCAATGGGTCCTCCACGACCGGTTGACATGTCCTCCTCTTCCCAGCCTGACAGTGGAAAGACCGCCCGGAGCGCATCCCCGAGAAAAGGAGATTCTGAGTCTCGAGATGCTCCTTCGAGGCTGAAGCCTGCTCTTGTACCTCAAGTCAAATCGCTTTCAGGTTTGTTGATTTACTCATACTTAAACTTTTGTCTTTATTGAAGTTCCAATTTTTATAACTTTTCCTTCTTCGCAGCTATGGAGACAGAAGGCAGTGTCTTCCGATGCTTCAAGACCCG